TTTTGTGTATCTAAGATACGAAGGTGTTCGCTTAAAGTTCCGTGAGCTCGTTCGATTGTAGAATTTCCGGTATGGCTTCTGGGTGACGTAAAGTGAGCGTTTATATTTTCTGTTCTAAAGAAGTTTTTGATATTAAGACTATCGAACTCATTGTCGACAACGATTTTATCTGGCCTACCGAATAGTGCAAACCTGTTGCGAAGTGCTTGTATAATAGTAGTTGCATTTCGGTCATTAAGACGTTGGACCATTAAATGCTTTGAGAATTTGTCAATTATTGTAAGAAATATTTCCTTATAACAGAAAAATAAATCGACGTGTATTATTTTATTAGGAGAGCTCGGGGTTTCGGAAATTTCGAATCTATATTTATTTGGTTTGCGATCATATTTTGATTGATTACATATGTCGCAATTGTTTATATACTTATGAAATAGTTCCTTAAGTTTAGGGAAGAAAAACTCATCTTTCACTTCTGTATAATTTTCAACGATACCTCGATGGTTTGATTCTTTATGAATTTTTTCTATTAATTTTAAAGCCTCTTCTTCATTTTCTATGTCTATTGCTTTTTTAGTACATTTTATGAATTTCATTTTATTATTATTAGAAAAGAGTTCCGTGAGTTTCTGTTTTACTATATCAAATTTTTCATCATTTAATTCGGAATAGATAGCAGTTATTCCATTTCTAATGAATCGTCTAAGTATGTCATTTAAATAATGGCTATTATTGATTTCATTTTCACTAATAAAGATTTGTCTAAATTTTTTATATTTTATAATTATTTCCCTTTCTTTTTCTTTTGTCAAATAAAGCTGCGTCAAATATTTATTAATTATTATATCGGATGTTGGGAATTGATTTTCATGGCGACTATGGTTTGTTGTTATAACTGAATTATTAGAAGGTGTTTCGTTAGGGTCATCTATATGATTAATTTCATTATTTGTAGAATCCATTCTACTTAAAAAATCAGCAACACGATTTTCTTTTCCTTTTACATAGTCTATTTCGAAGTCGTATTCGTTTAATCTGATTCGCCATCTTTGTAGTTTGGCGTTCGGTTCTTTTAGTGAATGCAACCATTTTAAGGGTTGGTGGTCTGTTCTTATTAAAAATTTTGTACCATATAAGTATGGCCGAAAATATTTAGTGGCCCATACTATGGCAAGAAGTTCCTTCTCTATAGTAGAGTAATTGCATTCATGATTATTAAGGGTTCTGCTAGCGAAGCAGATTGGGTGGTTTTCTTGTGATAGGACCGCTCCAATTGCAAAGTTGGACGCGTCCGTTGTTAATACGAATTTCTTTTTAAAATCAGGGTAACGAAGTATAGGATAAGTTGTAATCAATTCTTTTAATTTTTGAAAGGAGTCTTTATATTGTATATCATTTTCATTGATTTTATTTCCCTTTTTCAAATATTTAGTCATAGGCTGAGCTACTTTCGCATAGTCCTTGATGAACTTGCGATAGTACCCCGTAATGCCTAGGAAACTTTTTATCTGCTTGGGAGTCTTAGGCAGTTTGATTTGTTTAATTACATTAATTTTATCTTCGTTTGGCTTTATTCCCTCTGGTGTTAATATGTGTCCTAAATACTCTGTCTCTTTAGAGAAAAATTTGCACTTATCCACTTGGATTTTTAGATTGAACTCTCTTAATTTTGAAAATATTTTATTAATAGCTGAGAGGTGTTCTTGTAGTGATGTAGAGAAAATAAGGATGTCATCTAGATAGACAACGCAAATTCGCCCGATAAAGTCCTTTAAAACGTAATTGATCATCCTTTGAAAAGTTGCCGGAGCATTCTTTAGTCCGAATGGCATCCGTACAAACTCAAAGTGACCTTGCGGTGTAGAAAACGCGGTCTTTAGACGATCTTTTTCATCCACCAATATCTGGTGAAACCCCTTTGCGAGGTCCAGAGTGGTGAAATATTGAGCCCGACCCAATTTATCAAATATAGAATCTATATTCGGTATCGGGAATTTGTCATCAACCGTAATTTCATTTAATTTACGGTAGTCGATGACAATGCGCCATTTTTGTTTCCCTGAGTAGTCCAATTTTTTGGGTACTACCCATATAGGGCTATTATAAGGGCTACTGGATGGTTGAATAATATTTTGCTCTAACATTTCCTGAACTTGCTTATTTACTTCCCCTTCATGTATTTTTGGAAACCGATATATTTTACTATAAATCGGTTGGGAAGTAGTTGTAATTATTTGATGTTTTACACTTCTGACACATGTTAATCGATCTCCCTCTTTATAGAAAAGATCCTTATTAGAGTTTAAAATATATTTTAATGATTTAGTTTCTTCTCTATTCATATTTTTATTTAATAATTTTTCAAATAATTCATTATGGTTGATTTGTAAAGGTTCTATTTGACAAGTGTTTTCAAAAGGACAAGCTGAATTAAATTTAATATTACGGTTGTTAATTTCTAACCGCTCCTTTGAAAGATTAATATTTGCTCCTATTGGTTTTAAAATATTTTGGCCTAAGAGAGCGTCAAAGTTTTTATTGCTAAGATCCATTACTTTCCAGGACATAGTTGAATTTTCATTGAACTCGTCAGGTACTTTTGTAGTTATTTCGTATTTAATGGCTTGGTTTCCTGCGAGTGTCTTTAATTGAATTGGATTTTCTAATTTGTTTTGTTTAGATCGATCAAAAATATTGCCGTTTATAATTGAAGTAACTGATCCTGTGTCGATCAGACAGGTCAGCCTTTTGCCTTCTATTGTTAAGTCTACTAAGGGTAATGTCGGATAGGGGGACCACAGTGAAAATTTTCTGTGGAACCCGAATCCACATCCATTGGAACTGGACTTGACCGATTTTCGTTATAAGATGGTCCTGGTAGATTATTACCTGTACCACCAAACTGTTGGTTGGGCCTAAAATTCCTAAACTTTTCGTTAGTAGTGTAGTTTCTGTCCATTGGTCTATTTGTGTAAGTGTTTCTTATGTTGTTATTGTAATTGTTATTGTTGAAAGTTCTATTTGCGTTTCTATAGTTATTTCTGGAATTTGTATTATTATTACTATGTCTAGAATTTATGTTATGGTTATTTCTGTAATTTGTATGATTATTGTTCCTATACTGAGAGTTGGTGTTTGGAACCTTGCTGTCGGATATATTGGTTTCTAATAAGCTTCTATAAGCGTCTTCTAATGTTGTTACATTTTTAGTTCTAAGGTACATTGAGTCTACTCTATTTAATTTATTCAAAAATTTTTCTAATATTGAATTTTCATTATTAATTGGATTAAATTCTGAAGATTTATTGTCATCCAAATCATATTTTAAATTTAACAAATTTAATATGGAATTTAATTTAACATAAAGATCACTTACATTTCTAAAAATTATACAGTCTGCTTCTTCTTTTAATTTCAAATAAGATTTCTGTACTCCGAAGGTAGCTTTCAGTTGTTGTTTTACTTCGTCCCAAGTTTTTTCCTGAATTCTCCGGATTGCTGCCGCTGCAGGACCCTGGATCTTGCTGTACAAAATTCTGTATAGATAGTTTTTTGCATCGGCATCCGCTGCTAAGGCAATTAAACTTTCGACTTCTTCGATGAAGGATTTTAGACTGTAGGCGTCTTGTCCAGTAAAAATTGGTACTGAACGAGCTTCGCCTATCAAGTCTTTTAATGTAATTGCAGCAAGTGACATGTTAAAATTTTTTTGTATATTTTTTAGATTATCAAAGTATTTTTCTTTTTCACTTTTCTTCATAAATGTTAAAAAAAAAAAAAAAAAATATTTTGGTTTTTTTTTTCCTTTTTTTTTTTTTTTTTTTTTTCTTTTTATAATTTTTGTTTTATCAATTTAATTAGTTGTAAAATTTGATTTGATTAAAGATCTTTTAATAGATATTTTATTTGTGTTTTACTTATAATTTTTTGTTCGTTTATTTACCGAATTAACTTTTTGAAAAAAGTTCTCCGCCTTTACACAACTAAACTTTTATCACTCAGTTCACCACAAAATTTTTTTTTTATTATTATTATTTAATTTTGCTTAATGGTTTGAGCATTACACTATTTTATTTTCTAGTTTTTTGTTCATTTAAATTGACTTAAGAAAAATGTTAGTGTTTTCTTTTTTTTTGTTTAGATTTTTTTTTGTTTTTATAGACGGAGTCGGTATCCTACCGACTGCGCCAATTAAATTATAAGTTTTTACTTTACACAAAAAAAAAATATTTTAAGATTTATAAAAGTTCTTTTTATTTCATTTATTAATTAATTACACTTTAATTTCCAATTCCAAACTTATTAAATTAAACTATAAGTTTTTACTTTACACAAAAAATATTTTAAGATTTATAAAAGTTCTTTTTATTTCATTTATTAATTAATTACACTTTAATTTCTAATTCCAAACTTATTAACTTTATTTTTAAATCTTTATTTTCTAAACGGCAAAACGATTTAATAACTAACGAGCTACTGAATTACCAACCAAGCCAAGCTGCTATTGAATTTACTCTATTTATAAGAAATAACTGTTTAGTAAGCAAAAAATTGTTTAGAATAATTCTCATGGGAAAGTTTTAATATTGTAATTTGAATATTTGGAACTTTGCTTTAGTTTTGTCTGTAAAAGTTCAATCACGTTGCAATTAAATGATTTCATATAGGAGTTTAATTGCAATGTTGAATTTTAATTTTAATTTAAAATAAATATTTTGTTTTTGTCAAATCACGTTGCGATTAAATGATTTAGAATAGGTTTAAGTAATAAAGTATGGAAATTTGATCGCAACGTTCGATTTAATTTTAGTTATAGTTAAATTTTATTTTTTGGTGTTCCGGGCGTAAGCGAATATATAACTTGCACCCGTAAAATTTTCTTATATTCGCTCATAGATGTCGCTAAAATTATGAAAATAAATTAATAGATTTGCTTATCCCTGCGTATAATTTGTTGACATTTCCAACAACAATATAATGACGGACGCTGACACGTCAACTTGTCAGCAATTAAATTGGTACGATATATCTGAGGAAACTTTAAATATTCCAATTTAATTTTGCTTTAGTAACTATAAAGAAATAATTTTAAAGTAAATAAGGGTTCGTATTTTGGACAAAAATTTAAGTTAAACTTGTGATTTATATATTTTGACGAAGTACGTGTAACATCGAAAAGAAATGGCTTTAGCAGATGGGCCATGTTATACCATTATAAATGGTGGTTTTTCGGCACCGTTCAATGAAATGCAATTGAAACAAGATTTAGAGAAAGGAGATATAAACTTAAAAATAGATACATTAAAAAAGGTTATTCAATTGCTATTAAACGGGGAACGGTTGAAAGGGTTGTTGATGACCATTATCCGGTTTATATTACCACTGCAAAATCATACCATCAAAAAGTTGCTTTTGATTTATTGGGAAATCGTTCCCAAAACGACAGATGATGGAAAGCTGAAACAAGAAATGATTTTGGTTTGTGATGCATACAGAAAGGTAAATTATCATTGGTACAAAATTTCTTATATTAAAAAATCTGCATTGCATAATTTTAGGATCTGCAACATCCAAATGAATTTCTCAGAGGATCAACACTTCGTTTTTTGTGTAAACTAAAGGAACCTGAACTTCTTGAGCCTCTCATGCCTGCTATCACAGCTTGTTTAGATCATAGACATTCTTACGTACGAAGAAATGCTGTTTTAGCGATTTTTACCATTTATAAAAATTTTGAATGGTTAGTACCAGATGCTCCAGAATTAATTGCAAATTTTCTCGATACACAACAAGATATGTCTTGTAAGAGAAATGCTTTTCTTATGTTACTTCATGCTGATCAAGAACGAGCTCTTAATTATTTGGCGTCCTGCCTAGATCAAGTTAATAATTTTGGTGACATTCTTCAACTGGTTATTGTAGAACTTATTTATAAAGTTTGTCATGCAAACCCATCAGAACGTTCGCGTTTTATACGTTGTATTTACAATTTGCTAAATTCTTCGTCAAATGCTGTTCGTTATGAAGCAGCAGGTACATTAATTACTTTATCTGCAGCACCAACGGCAATCAAAGCAGCGGCTGGATGTTATATAGAGTTAATTGTTAAGGAAAGCGATAATAATGTAAAATTAATAGTCCTTGACCGTTTAATAGCTATGAAAGAAAATGAAAATACTGAAAGAGTTATGCAAGATTTAGTAATGGATATATTACGTGTATTAGCCGCTCCTGATATTGAAGTGAGAAAAAAAACCTTGGAACTAGCTATGGATTTGGTATCTTCCCGAAATATAGAGGAAATGGTTTTGGTTTTAAAAAAAGAAGTCACAAAAACCCATAATGTTGAACATGAAGATACTGGAAAATATAGACAACTTTTAGTTAGAACCTTACATAGTTGTTCTATTAAATTTCCTGATGTGGCTGCTGCAGTTATTCCAGTTTTAGTTGAATTTTTATCAGACACCAATGAAGCAGCAGCAGCTGATGTGCTAGTTTTTGTTCGAGAGGCTATACAGAAGTTCAGTTCTCTTAGGCCACTAATTATAGAAAAACTAATTGAAGCTTTCCCAATGATCAAATCATCAAAAACTCATAGAGCCGCTTTCTGGATTTTGGGAGAGTATATTGATTCAGCCAATCAAATACAAGAGTTTTTAAATGTTTTGAATAGTACTTTGGGAGAAATACCAATGGTTGAGGCGGAGCAGAGAATTTTAGCTGGAGATCAAGTTGAACAAGAACACAAAGCAGATAAAGAAAACATTCCAAGCAATAAAGTGACATCTGATGGTACATATGCAACACAGAGTGCGTTTAGTGTAGCACCGTAAGTTGCTTAAAATAACATTTTACATTTTCAGAATTTAACTAAACAAAATTTTTAGCGTTGTCAAAAAAGAAAAGCGTCCGCCATTAAGACAATATCTTATGGATGGGGATTTTTTTATTGGAGCTGCTCTTGCTGCAACTATGACAAAATTAGTGTTGCGTTATATTGAACTTGAGTCTGACGTGGTAAATTAAAAATATAAACATCATTTCAATTATAATTTTAAAAAAATTTTATAGAAAGAACAGAATCGTATTTGCACTCAAACTATGCTTGTTATGAGCTCTATTTTACATTTGGGAAAATCTGGTTTCCCAGCGAAACCCATTACTAATGACGATACAGATCGCATATTTTTCTGTTTGAAAACTTTAAGCGAACGCACACCAGATGCCGTCGAAATATTTCGCGATAAATGCAGGGAAGCACTTGGAAAAATGTTAGATGCTCACCAAGCGGAAGAAGCCCAAACACAAAAGGATAAACAAAAATTGAGTGCAAAAGTACAGCCAGATGACCCAGTTCTTTTCCCTCAATTATCTGCAAATAATTGGCAGAGCCAGCTTGGAGAAAATGTTTTTGAATCTAGTTTGAATCAAGCATTAGCTGGAACTAAATCAGCAAATTTGTCTGATGTTGCTTCACCAAATAACAAATTAAATAAAGTAACACAACTAACGGGTTTTTCGGATCCTGTATATGCAGAAGCCTATGTTAATGTCAATCAATACGATATAGTCCTTGATGTTTTGGTTGTAAATCAAACTAGCGATACTTTACAAAATTGTACGTTGGAATTAGCCACATTAGGTGACTTAAAATTAGTTGAGAGACCACATCCAGTTGTATTAGCCCCCCACGATTTTTGTAATATTAAAGCGAATGTAAAAGTTTCTTCCACCGAAAATGGAATTATTTTTGGAAGCATAGGTATATTTTGTAAGAAAATACTTGCTCTTAATTCTGACTCAAATTTTTTTCGTTTTTAGTATACGATACAAATACAACATCAAATGTAGTTGTTCTAAATACAATTCATATCGATATAATGGATTATATAATTCCTGCAACTTGCACAGATACAGAATTTAGGCAAATGTGGCAAGATTTTGAATGGGAAAATAAGGTAATTTTTAAAGAAGCGAATTTGGGCATTTTATTAAACAAAAAAAAAATTGATATTAGGTTACAGTTAATACGACCTTTACGGATCTTCATGAATATTTAAAACATTTATTAAAATGCACTAATATGAAATGTTTGACGCCGGAGAAAGCTTTGTCAGGTAATTGTGGATTTATGGCTGCAAATATGTATGCTAGGTAAGTTATTCACTTCTAAGGAATAGATCTAAAAAATATTTGAATAATAAATGTATAACGATTCTTTTGAAGATCTATTTTTGGCGAAAACGCTCTTGCTAATTTAAGTATTGAAAAGCCAATGGATGACCCAGATGCTAAAGTAACAGGCCATATCCGTATTCGTGCTAAGAGTCAAGTAAAAACTATTTTGCTCGATTAAATAAGTTTTAGTTTAAAATTCATTTTAATTTTAGGGAATGGCACTTAGTTTAGGGGATAAAATAAGTTCATCTCAAAAGCAAACTGTTCAAGCTGCTTAAATTGAAAGTTTACTATATTCTAATTATTTTTTCCTATTATGTATTTGTTCTTTATATGATTATGAATAAAACTATATAACATTCAAAAAATTCTTGTTGATCTTCAAGACTGCTGCAATGCTTGTTGCTGCTGTACATCACGTTACTCCCGAAATTTCTGGGCTCAAATAATTTCAAAATTGAAAATAATTTTTAAAATGTGATTTAAAATAAAATATTGACTTGACCCTTTTCAGATAAGTATAACTCCACGTTTCAATAAAACAAAAAATAATCTGAATATTTTGCTTCTATTTTTAGTTATTTTTACAGCACAATTCCCAATTTCCATTAAATTTCTGAAAAATTAAACAAAGACGCGAAATTTTCCGTCCTTTTATTTTTTATTAGTACTGTTGCAGTCTTAAATTGTTCCTTGTACTACAAGTTTAAAATGGCGTTAGGTTTTATATTTTTTTTAAACAAAGCTTAAAATGTTAATACGGTAAAAACAATCGTCAAATTAATAAAATTTAGATTCCAATAATTCCAATAATATAAAAAAAGAATCCAATTCTAAAGAAATATTACGTGCACAACCCTATCGACTACTGTTTTCTGAAAGTTTTATTTCTTAAGAAGGCAAGTCTTTATTAAGGTGCTCAATTTTGATACTTTCTCTTTAATTTCGTTCTTTCTGCTATCATGTGTCATTATTTGTCAATATTAACATTGTTGATTATTTATTCTAGTGAGAAGTGAGGTGATGCGGTCTTTGCGCCAATAATCAATATTCAAAAAGTTACTGTTTTATAAAAAAAAAAAATAATGTCGTTATGGGTTGATAAGTATCGTCCAAAAGAGCTGATGAAGCTAGATTATCATAAAGTATGTATTTGAAATTCGTAATATACGTATGTACATATATTAAATTAGATGTCTAATTATTAGGAACAAGCGGAACAACTAAGAAATTTATGTCATCAAGGGGATTTTCCTCATTTAATGTTTTATGGCCCATCAGGTGCCGGAAAAAAAACTCGCATAATGTGTTTGCTTCGAGAATTATATGGTCCTGGAGTAGAACGTCTTCGGAGCGAAACAATGCAATTTACAACACCATCAAATCGCAAAATTGATATTATGACTACGAGCAGTAATTACCATTTAGAAGTCAATCCTTCTGATGTTGGAATATACGATCGTGTTGTAGTCGTAGACTTAATTAAGCAAATTGCTCAAACTCATCAAATTGATCCAAATGGGCAACGTGAATTTAAGGTGATTGTTCTATCTGAAGTTGATGAGCTCACTAAAGATGCTCAACATGCCTTACGTAGAACGATGGAAAAATATGTAGCAACATGCCGTATAGTTTTTTCGGTAAATTCAACATCTCGAGTCATTCCAGCAATCAAAAGTAGGTGCTTAGGTATTAGAATAGCAGCCCCAAAAATTTCCGAAATTATTACTATACTTCAAAATGTATGTAAAAAAGAAGGTCTCACATTACCCGAAAGTTTTGCTGAGCGTTTGGCTATTAAATCCGAAAGAAATTTAAGGCGAGCTATTTTAATGTTAGAGGCTTGCAAAGTTCAACAATATCCATTCACCGCAAATCAAGATATTGTAGAGTTAGATTGGCAAGTTTATTTAAAAGAAACGGCTAATCAAATAATACAAGAGCAGACACCACAAAAGTTAGAAAAAGTACGTGAAAGATTGTATGAGCTTTTATCTCAAGGTATACCACCCGACACTATATTTAAAGGTCTGGTAGAAAATTTGGTGAAAAATTGTGATATGTCACTCAAAGCAAAAATTTTAGAAGGTGCAACATTATATGAATATCGGATGCTTTCAGGATCTAAACATATATTTCATTTGGAAGCGTTTGTTGCATATTTTATGAATATATATAAAAAATTCTTGTGTGAAGCTATAATTTTGGATGATTTTTAAATTAAATATTAATTAAATGTTAAAAAAAGTTTTTTTATTTATAACCATTAGTTCTTAAACACTAAAAATTTGTAATAATTTATGCAATTTTCAAGCGTTCTTTTTTATTTTGTGCAACTAATTGAATTGCTAGACGAATTTTATCTTCAGATGCTCTGCCAGCAGTTTGAACGTATTCTTCAATCAGTTCCTCTAATTCCAAATGAGCCTAAGAAACAAAATTGTCTCATTTCAATAGATTCAAAAATAAAATAAAAGTTACGTGTCTATATTCGTCATCTGTGTCGAAATTAATACGCAAGCCATACAGTAGAAGATCAATTGGATACAATGGAATACATAAAGACGGGGTATTGGCCGCTAGTGGATGTTTAATATTAAAGTATTCATGACCAGAACCTAACGCAGCTCTTATTAATTCTTTTGTTAATTCGGCAGCTTCCAGCAACCTTGAATGGTTGACAAATAATCTTAATAGTTCCGCTACATTGTCGTGCTAAAAATTGCAACTGTCAGAAATTGGAAAAATTTTGAAAATTGAAATCTATGTCCACCTTATATGAGTTATATAACCATCGAGGTAAAAAAACTTGCAGGTTCAATAATTTATTTACGACCGCTTTTCGAATAGCTGTGAAACCTGTTAATTCGTGATCTTCAATTTGTTTTTGAAGCAACGCCCAAGCCGTGTCTGCCGCATTGTTTTTGTGAGGTAAATCTAAAAATATAAAAATAATACTATACTATTTAGCTTTTACCGGCTTAATTATTTACCGGCTAAATCATTTTCCTGCAACCAGGTCCATGGCTGAGAAGGTCCTTCTTCAGCAGTTCTAACACATGCGGCTGTTAAGCTTTCAAAAGCTGGACATAAATTCAAATCAAAACCTTTCAACAATTTTATAGCTGAAGTATAATGCCCAGCGTTCAATAACATTTGTGATAATTCTTTAACTCCAAGTTTTATTAAAGAAGTACCAACTTCTTGACGATGTTTAGATAAAATTAAACAAGCCTCAGTGTGTAGCAATTCTTTGCGAATATCTTTAATTTCATAGACTGTAACTTTTGACTTTCCATCGTCATCTGGCTCAGAATGTGTTTCATCAGTTTCCATTGCATCTGGATCTTCGGGTTCGTCACTCAAAATAGGTCTTACGATCCACTGGAAACGTTCATCTACCAAATACAGGGTGTTTAAGCACATCAATAGGCTATCATATCTTTTTTGAATTGATTCAGAACAATCGCTTTCAAGTTGTAGACGTAATGCTTGTTCGTACATACAAGATGAGGCTAAAATTTTCTTTGTATAGGTATTTCGTTATTCAAATTTTTTGTCTTACATTACCTTTTCTCATATTGTCCTTGTTTACGTAAAAAGCATACAAGAAGTTATAAACTTCATTTTCTTCTATAGCCATAGAACGAGCCCTTGACTCCAGTATATTTTCAAATTCCTCTTGAAGCCCAGCATATTCAAAGTGCAAAAGTAAATCAAGACGTTTTTTGTTGAACAAAGAAACTACTAATTGCCTTAAACAATCTTTCCTTCTTGATGGTTCTGCATTAAAAATAAGCGAATGGTAGGCTTCCTCATAGTGCTCTAAAACTAGGTGACTATTAAAAACAATTGATTGGAACATCGGTAATTGGGAATCGTTTTTGTCCAATATTCCAATTGCGACTTGTGCCATAGCTATTATATTATCGAGAGAATTATGCTGCTCGAATAATTGAATTACTTTAAGGTAATATTTAGCTAAAGCTTCGTTCAATGTTAAATTTGTTGCATTCTTAAGAATTCGTTCAATTAAGAATTGTTCTGTATGAACTCCATTTGCCGATTGTAAAAATAAATCATAAGCCTTATGTACTTCACCATTGTCCAAAAGAGACACGGCCAAAATGAATTGTCCTAAAATAAATTTTCGAAATTGTGAATATCGTTTATTTAAACATGTAAAATTATGTTTTTTTTTTACTTGAGGAGTTATTCCACTCGCACCATTTATTAAGTAAACGTACATATTCTTGAATGACAATATGTTGACAACTTCCAAAAAGCCATTCCCCAAATACAAAGTTTCCAGATACGGGCCATCTAGTTATTTAAAGGAATATTCTAAGAACTATATAAAATTTATTTTCAACTTACATTAATTGACTTATAATAGTCACTAGAGGAATTAGCGTATATTGCCATTGCAAATCTTGCAGAGTTTTAAAAGGTCCTTCTGAAAATAATGCTAATGCTGTATACAAGCCTTTTGAACTTAAAAATACTCTTAATAATGGGGCAGAATGTATTTGTGCGCTTAAATTCGGTCTTGTTTCTGTTAGTTGTAACAAATTCAGGCGTTGAATGCTACTTTCCCTGAAATCAAATTATAATTTTTAAAATAAAATATTTCACATTTGTTTAACTAGACTGATTATTACAAAGAGGAAGAGTGATTCAAATTAACAGGCCTTTCGCAAATCCAGATCATGACATAATATGATTGAACAAATACTACCGCCTCTGGCATAAATTTCGAGCGAATTGTTTCTAAAACATCCGAAGCAAGCGAAATGGTATCAATCAAAATTTGTTGCAATATTAGCAAATTTCTACACAAAGCATATCTTATCAAAGAGGTCTGTCGGACTGATTCAGATAATATTGAAATTCCAATATTACTCCCAAATAAATTTCCAATTATAAATAAAAACCGTGACGATTCTGCCAAATCTGAAAATTATGAAGACCTTGTTTTGCCTTATTAAAATCATATAATTTCATTTATTTTACGTGAATGGGTTTGCATCGCTTCGGGGTTTCCATAATCCATTCTTAAACTGTTTAACAAAGTTAACATTGCTGAACATATATCACTAACAGATTGTAATTGTTGTCTCAAATTTATCAAGAAATTTCTAGGAAATATCTAAAATGAAAAATAACAATAAGAAAATCTGAAAATTTAAAGGTGAAATTTGCTTATTACTTCTTTGCAGTTTCCGGCTGATAATATCTCGTTGACTAGATCTGCAATCACTACATCCGGCATTTCAAGTTGCTGTAACTTTTTATCGAAATCTAATTTGACATCTTCTGGTAACCATTGTTCTATTTGCGATAGTATTTTCACCAGATTTATTAAGTCTTCTCCAGCTCTCTTATTTCCATCGAAATGCGTAAAAACAAAATTACTTAGCTCAATATTTTCTCCAACAATCATTAAATGTTCTAACGTCTCGCAAGGTCTTAATAAAGAAAAGGTGTTTTTCTTTACAACACAAACAACATCTATACTAGCTAATAATACTAATCCAATTGGTTGACTTGCTTTCATATGATATTGTTCACAACATGAATAAAATTTTTCCCAAAATCTTGTTGCAATTTCTACGTACTCGTCATCAGCAATTTCATATTCTTTAATTTCATTTTGAATTTCTGCTTCAACAGCTTGACATACACGGTCTTTCAGTATATGCATAGAAATATTCGGATCGAATAAGTTATTAGAACGGCGGAACATTACCAATGCTTTTAAGATTACTGAACGATCAAATTTTCCTGGATGAAAAATATAAGAGCAGTAAGCTTGCCGGGGATCAACATTTGGGTCAATACAATAGCGATCTGGAGGTGGCTCCATTGCAGCTGATATCCAACTTAAACTGTGGCCAGGTGTAAGTGAAAAATTTGAAATATTAAATTCTCCTAGAAAATTAAAAAGCCAAATTAACTATGATAAGAAATTTTATGAACTGTTTATTTTACCTTGTGCATTGCACCAAAGGGCCCATATTTTATTTTCTGATACTTCAAAATCTGCTAAATCAGATTGAGGTGCTGGAATAACTTTTGTTTTTTGTAATGTGTAATGTGTACTTCCTTCTGATAAAATTTTAATGCAAACAAACTCGGAATTCATTGAATGGGACAGAAATGCGCACAAGTTGCGGTCGTTAATTTTTCTTAAGGCATTGGTTTGTGCTGATTAAAAGGAGGAAATATATTTTTTTCTCTGTTAAAATACAATTTTTTAAAATGCTGCTTACGTCCTTGTAACCTGTCTTCTGAACCATCACGGATTAAATTTACAACTGAAACACACTGCGCACTGGCAGTAGTCCACATTTTTAAATGATCATCTCTATATAAGGCCATGAGGAAAGTTTGTCCGTTGACGGTAGAGAACACCATAGAAGTAGCAAATTCTGAGTCGATGGACCCCGATTTCCCACTATAATTTTTTTTTTTTTAATTTGAGAATTTTTAATTATATTTTTATATTTTACCCTAGTGCTCCACGAATATTTGAAAATATTCTTGGCATTATATGAGTTTCTTTCAAGACACTTGTAACAGTTAATCCATTTTGGCAGTTCATTGTAAATAAAGCCAGATTATTTTGATAAGCTAAACTGAAAAAAGCTTCCTGTCCGTTCGTTGATAAATAACATGCTGCTGCATGAGGAACTGGATTATCTAAAATAAAAAATGTTTAATTTCTATTACTCTTTTAAAAAAATTATTTACTTGATGATATATTCTGACCAATAACATAATAAGTTGAAGGATCTTTGACTGAATTTGTATTAGCTTCACGAAATATAGAATAACACTTTGTTTCACTAGATTCTTTATGACCGAAAGCATTTGGATGTGTAAAATTTATTTTATGTAAACTTGACACAGTTGTAACTAATATAGTAACAAATTTATCATATTCTGTTATATAAACTGATAAAACTGGAGAATCAGTAAATTTGTATCGTAAGTTGTTATCAAACAAATTAAAATCTAAACTAATTTCTGATAATTCTAAGACATCATGATATGTACGCCTAAAATTTATTTAATCTTCCTTAATTAATGTATGTATTTCATAACACAAAAATATTTACCAATAAATAAAACGATTTCTATTATGGGTCTCTTTTGAATATATATCTTTATAGCAATACCCTCCAGATTTTTCAGCGACTTTAATATCTTGTAGTGTACTATGTGTACCGCCTAAAATTGTTTAATTTAGAAATATACATGCATACATATATAGCAATTTATTTTTTAGAATTATTTTACCTGTATTTAAAGAAACTTCAGTCCATTTTTCTATAGTTGACAAATCTGGTAGTACTTCCCTATAACTTAAATTAAATTCTTCCATACTTTTGATTCTTTTTATTTTTAAAAAATTTCTATATTATTATTTTTTTTGAGCCGCTCTGTTTCTGTTGCTCTTTTTTATAAAAATGAATTCGACATAACCTTAAAACTAATGAAACTCTCTTAACCCTGTAAACAATAAACTCGAAATCAAAACTAAAATCTATTTGTTTTGCATGGATGAGTAATAATATTCTTATGAGTCAAATTTAAATTTAGTACAAAATCATTTTCATGCAAAAAACTAACTGAAAATTAGTACTAATTAATTATCTTACATAATATTATTTAAAAGTTAAAGGAGCGTGTACATTAAAAAAAGCTTTTCGTTTTGATATTACTGATTTTCGTACTAGTATCTTATTTATTGGGATTTAAATAGAACTTTAAATTAAGATTTTGAAAATTTGCATGTATTTCGAATATGAATAATTCAAAATATAATGACAACAAATTTGGGACGCAAACCGAATCTTTATACTATATATTTTATTAGAATATAATTTAGTACTATCGCTAAATATTAAACTTACTAACATTACTTGATCGTAAATTTTGAAATTAACTTTTTTAATTGTTTTTTAATTATAATGTATAATGTACAAGGATATTACTGTATATTTATAAAAAACAATTATATAATTTAGTTATATAATTCATAAAGATAGTAAATTTTAAAAAATTAAAAGTGTATGATCTCTAATCAATAACACATTTTTTTCGAAAAACTAAATTTAAAGGATGTATTTCGAAAATGTGATATAAAAAGAGTTTTTTATTTATTCCAGTCTTTTTTTATGTATAAAATTGTATAAAGTTTTACTTATATTACTAAAAATTAATGTATTATGTAAAATTGTAATGCAATAGAAAGTTGAAAAAAAAAACTTGTTTATAAATTTATGTCATTGAAAAATCTCACAAGATCCATAATACTATTGGCATAAAAATCAGGTATCAATTTACTGAATTTTGGATTCTCAAAATCTTCTAATTTTGTACATCCACTTAATACTAACATTGTTTGAAATCCATTAACTTTACCAAATCCAATATCTTGTTCTATCATATCACCGACCATTAATACTCTCTTAGGTTCTTCAATTTTATAATTTTCAATAATCATTTGTCCAAAATCTTTTCCAGGTTTACCAAACATTATTGGTGTTTTTTTATTAGCTTCTGCTATAAGATTTACAAATGATCCGGGACCTATTTTTTTTTTTTTTATTAAATTATATAAAAATGATTCAATTAATTAAAAATTAATTTTTTGATCAATAAATTATACCAATAAACGTTGCTCCATCAACATGATAGAATTTATCATTGAAACCTGTTAAAAATAAACATTCTGGATCCTTATATAAATACATTTGAGCTCGGGTTAATTTAACTGATGAAACATTTAAATCAACGTCGACAACAACTGCTTTTACAGGTTCTGGATCATTTGATGTCAATTCCATTAAAACACTTAAGTGTTCTTTTGGTAAAACATCCGGCTAAAAAATAAAAGTTGATTTATCTCACTCTAAATGAACTTAAGAAAAAAAAAATAATTATGATAAAAGTAATTTACTCCATCAATAACACGAAATCCAGCTGCTTTCATTTCTTTTATAAATGTTTTCGTTCCAATGCAATATATTAATCCATCAAAATTAATTTTTCTCAAATATGAAATAATTGTTTTTCTTGGATGAAAAAGATCTTCCTAAAAATCATAGCCGGTTATTAAGTTTTTATTGTAACATTTATATATAATAATTTCCCTTAATTATTTATTTAAAAATATTTTTGTATTAAATTAAAAAATCTCTAAAGTGTAACTCTTATATTTCTATTATAATATAAATTTTTATTTTCATACATATATTAATGCCCCTCATACATGCGCTAAAATTATATTATTTATTGCTGGGAAATCATTTACATACTTTGTAAAAAATTATTTGATTTTAATTAATAATGTATTAACAAAATAAATATAAAACACTCATGTTTTTATCGGAGGGCATATATACAATTTATTACGATAAGGAACAAAGTATGTTCATAATCGTATTTAACATTTTATTAAATTATCTTCAAATATTGTCTAGTTCTAGTACAATAGGATATTGCATATTTCTTGGAATTATCAACTAATGTTATCTACATTATTCATGTGCATATAGTGTATAACATTTTATTATGATTTATACTTTTAGTACTGAATTTTTAAAGGGATTTGCATTAAAATAAATATACATATAGTATACTTAACATACTTTTATTTCAATTTTTTTAATGTTATTTGCCAAATTTTGTAATTTGTAATCTATTTAAATTTTTACCTTTTTATAATCGATTCCAGCAACACGAAAATATTCATCATATTCGTCATCACTTCTCATACTATTATTTGAAACAAAAACGCAATGTTTACCAGCTTTTTCGAGTAATTTTATTGCTTCACCTGAACCTTCTAAGGGTTGTAAATATCGCCAAAGAACATCTTAAATTTTAATAGAAAAATTATTATGAATATGTGCTAATTCTGTTATATAAATATTTAACTGATTTTGTTATAATTATATTATTATTTTTCAATAGATTTTAATATAAAAGTTTGGCGTATTTGTCAATTACAATAATTAATTAATTTTACAAACAATAACTACTAATTTCTTAATAGTATAATAATTCTAAAGTATGCAACACATAATTTTTCAAAACTGTTATACTAACCATCACAATCTGTTATAAAAGTATCAAACGAATCTAAAAATTTTCTTTTTTCTTCGGTAGTCAGATCTAAAAGATATTTTGGTGTTTTTTGAACGTCCGGTTTCATTATTTTATATAAACGATGCCAAAACAAATTTAAATATTTTCTCTGAAAACACCAAAAGAAAAAAAAAATTATAACAAATTTAGGTTATTTTTCCCTTTTTTTATTATTATTATTATTACTTTAATTTTTATGAGAAAATTCATACAAAAATTCTAAATTAGAATTTATTTTAAAAGATTTGACCTTAACACTGAGACTTCTTTTTATATACTAGTGGAATCTTTTATTTATTATTCTTGTATGGCAATGAAATATTGATAATTTTGAAATTTCAATGCGATGTGAGTGGCCCAAGCTCTTCATTATGTTTAATATGTAAAAGAAAGAAAAAAGAAAAAAAATTATAAAAACGAGAGACAAAATTACAAAAAAAAAAATAAATAAATTTTTTTTTTAGTATCTTTTTTAGAAGTGCGTGAGCGAAACGTACATAATATAATCTATAGAATATTGTTGAGGTAAGTGTAAAAATTTACCAAGTATCGATTAGAAAATACACATTGCTCTTGCTTATATTAAATATATACTATATATTATATAGATTTTTATATATTATATATTTATATAGTGGACACACACACCTGCAAATAAGTAATATATATGTGTGTAAAATGTGAATACATATGTTCAGTCATAGATAAGATTTTTAAATAAAAATATATATCTACATATTATATACTTTAGAAACATATTATTTTTGTTATTTTCTCATTTTGCAGCCTTAATAAAATACCATTCTAAAAAATTTAAAATACAAAATTTTACAATAGAGTGAAAAGTGTGTATGTATACCTAAATAATATTACAATTGTACTAAAAGTTTATACTTTGGTAACTGGAACAATTTCGTTGCAAATAGTTTAAAATACACTTGAAATTTTATTTTCAGTTCAAAATAATTTTACCAATTCTAAATATTGAGCAACATTATTACACACACAATTATCAAATATATATATAATATCAAAAGTTAAAGCTTGAAATTCTTAATAAAATTATTAACGAAATTAAAGTTATAGAAATTGATTGCAAATTGCATAAAATAATTAATTTTAAATTAGACTGAGTTAATTTATTTTTTAATACATGTGTTAAAAATCATCGAAAGACAAAGATAGGCGAACTCAATCTGTCATCAGACCTATCAATAGTGGGAACTTTAATTCAATCTAAAACACACCTGAATGGTAAAAATCTCCTAAAACTAGTCAAATTGAATAAACATTAGTTTTGCTCTATCGTGTTTTTGTGTCTATATTCCGTGAAGAAGGCACGAAAGTGCTACCACAGCAGACTGTGTTAATAAAATAAATAAGAAGAAATCTGAAAACTTTATCGATTATGCTTTGCAATATATTGGTAATACAATGTGTTGAAATTTTAGAATTCATTAGTGTAATTTATAAAATAATATTATATGTGGTTAATTTCTCTCTTTAAATCCGTATTACAATAATAATAACGAAAATGTTATACTTTGAACGATTTCTCTAAGTAGGTATATGATAACAAATGAAATTATAACAAACAAGTTAGCAACGTTGTTTTAAATTTTATAGTAGTAATTTTATATTAATAAACTGTTCTACCGTTATAAAGTGTTCTTCTAAAGGGGGTGTTAAAAATTTGTATCTGTGTTTTTTTTTTTAAATATTTAAGTATACGAAAAAGAATTGATAATAGAAAGTAAAAATAAATTACGAGTTTGTTGTTTGTATTGATTCCATATAAAAAAATTTTTCTTTTTTGTTATTTAGTTTTTTTTTTTTTTTTAAAGAGAAAGAGAAAATAATAATATAAACATGACTTTGTAAATATCAAAAAATTATTCATCAAAAAAAAAAAAAAAAGGAAAAAAATTAAAAAATTAAATTAATTTTTTTTCCCAATTTAAGAAATGAAAAGTTATTGACCATTATTATTTGTGTATATTTATATAGAATAAAAATAAATATTGTTAGAATGAAGATCAAAAACTGAAAACTTTTAGACAAGGAAAAAGCACGAAGTTGAAGAAAGTCAATATAAAAATTATTATTGTATATTAGTTTTGATAATTGTTGAATATTTTTGTTTTAATCTTGAGCCTATATACAAAGCACATACCCAGTAAATATCATAATAAATTAAATCACTTATGAAATTGTGAATAATTTGAATAATTTTAAAATAACATTATAAATCTTTTACACAACACATCTGCAATAATTGGTGATCACGAATTTCTTGGATATTATTATAGGTGTACCATATGTTTTGAATATTACAATAGCTACACTTATTTCAATTTTTTATTATAAAATTTAAATTAAATGTCTGTGAAATCAGAATTCAAATCACGTGAACTGATTCCTTTTATTCATCAAAACTTTTTATTATTTATTATATAAGGTTTTTGTTATATTTCAAAAAAGCGATATAAGAGTATATTTTTTATTTTAATATTATTGTAATTTAAAAGATATTCATATATTGTATATACATATATACATACCTACAGTAAATGACATAGAGAATTGTCTGGCTGTACATATGTATGAATATTATTAGCGATTTGTGTGTCTATGTAAATAGATTTTTCGACAATCAAAGTTAGTTAATTCACTGCTCATATTAGATAATATTAATAAGATATTGAAAAATTTATTACATATATGTAGATGAAAATATTTTTCTTGATTTTTCATTATATACTTACATAATATGTAGATTCGTTATACAATGTCGATCGCAAAAATCATTTAATAAAAATTAAAATTTCTTATATATTTTTGTTTTATTTTTTATTTATTTGTAGTTTTTAGCACTTATAATGTAACAACTCCTAAATACTCATAATATAAATGTATTTTGTCCTCATTTTTACTATTTATTATGAATTAAATTTATTTACTCACATTTATTTTTTCAATTCACAAAACCCAAAAAAAAAATTTGGAATTAAAATTATTTTTCAAACCAAAAAATTTAACAATAATTAAGAATAAATTTTTTTTTTCTACAAGTGTGTGTTTACATTCATGTGTGTCTAGACATGGCATTATACCAAGAATGAATGAAAAGATATATACACACATACATATCTACATATATATTTTGCTTACATTCATACATTTGCGTACAATATGTGCACAAGCTGTTTTTAAAATGAGAAAAGAATTGTAATAAATGAAAACAAAAAAAAAATAAAATACATCATGTATGTGGGCATGTATACCTGGTCTGTTCTTATAATATCCTTTCCGGAATTTATTTCTGAAAATTTAGAGATTCTTTTTATTGTTTACACAAAGTGTTTTCGGAATAATGCAGAATGCAATAATTTTATAACGTGTGCATATTAATCAAACCATTATCTTTAGAACCAGAAAAACCAGATTTTGTTCAAATGCAAATAATACATACACAAAATTTTAAAAAATCCTTTTAGATTTCATGTACATATTTATAAATATAAGTGTATGTAGTAAAGAAATGAATACATATATATAAAACAATATGCAATAGCAGATGCATTTTAAAAAGTGCATTTGATTGAAACTGTGTAACAAAATAGTTCTAATTTGATTTTCGAATTATTTATTTCAGAATTAAATACGCTGCCTTGTGCGTTAGTATAATGCAACAATATGCGAAAGATGCATTTTATTTATTACGCAAGCTATGAAACAAAATTCATAATAATACAAAGGCCAAATCAACAAAAGTTAACAAAAAGGACGATATAATAGAATTAGTTGGAAAACTTAGCGTGCATACGCATCAAAAATCGAGAGTCACAAAAATTTCTGTCCAATAATACACAATAAACAGATTTTCATTTTACAATTTATACTGAAATATTTTATAAAATTAACTTAAATACAAAAATACTGTTTAGATTTTATTTAAATTTTCAAATAAAATTTTCATTTCAGCCATACTATTTGCATAATAATCAGGTAGATTTTCAGCATTTTCAGGTTTTTTAAAATCTTCTAATTTTGCATCCCCTGTTAATACAATAAGAGTTTGATAACCACATAATTTACCAAATGCTACATCTTGATCTAATGTATCACCAATCATTAATGTTCTTTTTGGATCTTTTATTTTTAATTGATCTTGAATAACATAACATAAATCTTTACCGGGTTTTCCTAATACTATTGGTTCTTTATTACTAACTTTTTGGACAATTTCTGCATAATAACCTGGGCCTAAAAAAAATTTAAACATTTTTTTTTTGACTTAAGAAACTTAGTATAAAAAATTCAATAGAAACAAACCAATCAAACTAATCGGAGGTTTAATAGGCAGTAATTTATCAGTAGCTCCAACTATAAATATACATTCAGGGTGACGTAAATATACTTGTGCTTTTGCTAATTTACAACCAGACACATTAAAATCACTATCCATAATAACAGCTCGTACTGGATCTTGAGCAAATATTCGATTTACAAATACTGTAAGACTTTCTTCTAAAATTTCATTTGGCTATAAATTTTTTAAAAATAAAAAATAAATTAAAAATAAAAATATAATTAAACTTAATATATAAAATAACTTACACCATCCATCACAGAAAATCCGGCATCAGTTAGTGCTTTTTTAAAAAATTTTGATCCAATTAAATAAATGAGCCCATTGAAATTGATTTTCTTTAAATAATCGACAGTTGTTCGACTTGGATGAAAAATGTCATCCTAAAAAAAATTTTAATTCATAATTATTATAGGTAATAAAAATATTTTATATAATGTATTTGTATATTTTTGGCAGCTACTCTAATAATTAGAAGTTATTAAAACTTTGAAAAGGTATTTGACACTGTCAGATATGAAAGTATATGGAGGACGTAAGCTAGTAGGGGAGTAAAACAAAAAATCATTCACATCATATAGCCTCTGTATAATTAGTTAGGAAGATAACAAGGAAGATAAATGTTGACGAATATAACAAGGAAGATAAGGTTGCCAAAATTTGGCGCCTGCGAAATATTTTAAGAATAAAAAGTGTTTGAGCGATATGAAGAAAAAAAAATTCAAAGTTTGAGCGATATGAGAGAAAATTACATATTTTGAAATTGAATTAATTGAAAACCATTTAGCACCCAATTATATTATATTGCAACCATTATATTGCACCCAATTAAATAAAATGCTTGTACATCTTGGAGACTTTGAAGTGTGGCCTTCTTCAATTATAGCAATTAAAAAATTCTAATGTCAATTTTAAAAATTTAAAATTACAACTAAATATTTTTTAATTTGCACGAAATAATTATTTAATTTAGTAAATCAACTTAAATATTTATCAACATGAAATTAAGTTTCAAGTAAAATACAATAAATGCGCGAATATTGCAGTTTTATGTGATTTTATTAAATCCATTTTACTTACTCTATCTATATCAATATTCATTTCTTTGAATTTCGCCTTTAAATCATCTTCTGGTCGTACACTATTATTTGAAACGAATGCTACTTTTTTACCTATTCTTTTGAAATTATTAATTGTATCACTGGCACCAGGAAAAACTGTTCTTATCCATAAAACTCCATCAATATCAGTAAGAACAAAATCGAATGAATCCAAAAATTTTTTCTTTTCATCTGTTGTCATAGTTAAAATATTTTTTGGACCCTTGTCATGACATGAAGATTCCTGTATTTAAAGAAATATTTATGTATTTGTAATTTGAAATGGTATCATAAATTATAAAAGCTACATGCAACATTATAAAAGCTATTGCAACATAAATTTACACAATATTTGAATTTTGAGTAAAGAAAAGCCGAATTGCAACAAGATTTATGATAATTTATGACATAGAATAGCAAATAGTCAGTCAATGATGCGAAATTAATGTTTTCTTTAGATTTAGAAACTTAATACGTAAATAGTAGCCATTATTAGCTGGGTAAGTTAAGCTGCTTATAAATACAAAACTCTTTTACATTTATATAACAAAACAAACATGAATGAAATTATTTGACAAAGTTTTTGTGCCGCCACCATAATAAAATTTTAATAATTTTGTAAAAACATAAACTATGCAAATCAAATTTGGGCCCTGTTATTTAATAGTCTGTCATAACTGCTATATTTTATCATAAATTTTAAAAAATGCTGGCTACTAATTAATTGCACAAGAATAAATTAAAGACATAATTTTTTTAACATATCCGATAATTGCAAAATTCATGTAACCTAAAATTTGACCTATAAATAAAAAATATGATAAAATTTTAAATCGCAGACACATTTTCAAACCACATTAAACTCTTGACAACTTCTTCGGCTTAAAATGTGTAACGTTCAAAATGATTCGGTAGACATAATTAAAGAGCCTCATTTAGTTGCATTAAAAACTCAATAAACCGGGATAATGTTAAATCCCATTAAAGTTAACAAAAATAAAAACAAATATTACTGATGCATTCCTTGTTTTTATATTTTTTGTCAGACTTTCCATTCATTTTTAAATAAATGAATTTTGAAGATAAGAATATAAAATATTTATATAACCTTTGACCAACAATAAAATTATAATTAAGATTATTTGTAATTAAAAACTACTTATTTGTGACTTTAAAGATTGATATAATGAAAAAAAAAAGCAAAAATTTGTTCAACAGTAGCTATTTTTATAAAATAAATGATTAATCTGCTAATTCAGCTGTAGCTGTAACGCATTTTTTAAAAATATTTGTTGGTCTTCATTACCCAGTTTAAAATTTAGAACAATTTTTTATTAATAAATCAAAGCCTTTGTGTTATAAAATAGACGATACAAACCATTTAAAAGAAACTCAAAGTGGTGTTATATTTCGTTGGAAGTCTTTTAAAATTGTTCATTGACTTAAAGCTTGTACATACCACAATTCTATAGTATAATAATTATCCATACAGCTTGTTAAAACGTTTTATAAGATTGAAATCGCTGTCTACAAATTATTATATAGTTACAAATTTATGTTATACACAACTATTATAATTATAATATTATGCCCATATTTCCATTTTCAATCATGTCTTTGTAATTTTTTTTTATTAGAATGCAATTGTGAAAATAATTTGTAATGCACGTTCCTAGAGTTGAATTATCTTTTAATTTAATAATATAATAAAATATAATATGACATATATAAAGATTTTATTGCAAATATATTCATATAATTTTAAATATAACAATAGAAAAAATATTAATGTTGTTCGAGTATTACAAAAATTTTGTATTTTCGGAGAAAAAAAAAATATGCACTTGTAGAGGATTAACAATTTCTTTATTAATATTACGGAAATGATAACTAGTTTCCCTACAAAATGGAACATAATATGTTCCGTTATATTTTAATATTTTGCACCTAAATTAGAAAAGTTTGTGAAACACTTGTGTTAAAGTGTTTCACAAAGTGAAAAGTTTGTCATGAACTTTGCATATTGTTTATTTTTTGTTTTTACTCGTATTCTAGCGATAAGAAATAACATTTTCAGACTTTGTATTTAATAGAAGAGTGAATATAATTAAATTGATGTATGCACAGACATTCATATGTACATATATATATATTTTCCATTAATTTAAGTATATTAAACTTAAATATTAAATGCGGTATTAGCAAAAACTAAAATAGATAAGATTAATTAAATGTTGATAACAGTTTTGTTTTTGATAAGAAGAGAGAATTACGAGGGCATACTCTGTACAAATTATAATTTGACGTTATCATTATTTTGTGTGCATACAAAATTTTCGGTATATTTAAATTTACACAAATTTTGGTAAATATACACAAATATATTATGTATGTATGTATGTTAGTAGGTATATTTTTGTTTATTTAAATTTGAGATTATTATCGTTTAAAAGAAAACGTGTTTTTTAAAACAAAAAAAAATTTTGTTCAACAAAATTTTAATTGTTATTTTTTCTCTTTTTTTATAAATTTCAAATCAATTGTACCAATTGTACAAACAATATTAAGTATAATGTGAAATTAAAAATATTGCAGGTATACATGTATTTACATTATTGATGTACATACATCAATAATGTACATACATATTGATGTATGTAGATTGATTTAGAATTTTTTAAAAATTTTTTTATTATATTAAATAAAAATTACGTTTTTATTATGAAAATGTTTTTTATATTTAGATTATAATATACAGTTGAACCTGGATAAGAGGAATGAGGATCAAATATTTTCCTTTCTTTTGTATAGTTCTTATTTATTTAGTTTTAGCACCGAGTTAAACCCTATTTAGTAAAGAGAAAATAGAAAGTATTACAATTGAACAAAAACGAATTCCTTGTACAGAATATGGTTAGCTTGTTATAAAAAATTCAATAGATCTTGAAAATAATTCTCTCTAATAATTGATGTTTCTCTTTTATGCAGGGTCAGTTCTATTTATTTCCACATAATCATGTTTATGCGAAAGCTATATTCAAAAAATCATTACTATTTTTAATTATTTATTACGAATTTTATTTTATTTTAATTATTTATTACGAATTAAATTAATATAATTCTATAATTAAGAAAATTCAAGGATATTTCATATATTTTTTATACATACATCTCAATATATTGAAATAATTTTCATAATTTATAATTAAATAAAAAAATTTCAAAAACTCAGAGAAAAAAGTGTTATAATCTATTCAATTCTGTAACCATATAATTCATTTCTATATTATTTTGTACCAAAATTGGATGATAATTTTAAATTAGAATTTTTTAAAATTGTTTAAAGAAACTGTTCTCATTTTAAAACAAATTGTTAAAATTTGTTTTTGTTCAAAAAATTTAATTTTTAAGTTAAAAACGTCATTATTTGTGTTATGAAATATTTATTATTCAAAATGACAGGTGAAATAATGTAAGGTATAATGCTTAAAGCCAATTCTCCCGTATAGGCATGATTAATTGAATTGAAACCAAATATAGAAAATATAAAATAAAATTATTAATAGAAATTTTAAAATTAATTAAATCTGATTATATAAGTTTTAATAAAGGGCTCGAATTTCAATAAATGTTTACAGAATTTTTCTGTATTAAAAATCAAATCAGCTTTCGTATATATGTACACACTTACTTTATTACTATAATTTTCGATTTAAGAAACTCATAATCCGTTTATTGTTCATGAATCTAATTATATAATATTATTGAAATCATTAATATAAAATTTACAATAAACAAATTAACTGTTATACCTTCATCTTACCTTTTCATTATTAGTAATTGAACAAATACTATTATGATGATGATTAATTTTTGAATGACAGCAATTAATAAATGAATTTAATGTAAAAAGAATATAAAATATTATGATAAGAAAATATGACACATGATTTTTTTTATTTAAAAACATTTTACTAATAAAAAATATTTACGTAAAAAATTTCTTATGATTTTTATATAATATGATTCACAATATTATTCACAATTGTATAAGTAAAATAGTTGACAAAATTTTTTATGCAAAATTAAATTATTTTTTATTTTTCTCTTACATTTTGTGCCATTTTTTGAAATAAAACTATTAAGCAATGTTTTTAATTTTAACCCTTTATTTTACAAATTTCAAAAAATTTTTTTTCACTAAATTTTATTTAAATAAAATATTAAAAACTCCTTGATGATTAAAATATTTGTTTCGTAATTTATAAAAATAAAATAAATTTCCCTTATTTTTTTATTAATTTTTTAATTTTAAGAAAATTTCTTTTTAATCTAAACACCTTGAAGGAATTGAATGTAATGAATTCAATAAGAATTTTATTGATAAAATGAGTGTTGTTTTTTTTATTCTACACCTGATGTTTTTTTTTAACTCATTTACACTTGTTTTTGTATGATAAAATATAAAGTAAGTAGGTAAATATTAAATTACAATAAATTGTACATATATATGTATTATTTTTATTTATTTATATTATGTAAGCACACGATTACGCAGAGTAAATGAAAATGATTGCGCACGTCTTTATATTACAATAATATAGAAAAGAAATGAGATCGGAGTTAAAAAACAAAGTAAAAAAAATTCGAGCTTCTTTAATAGAAATTTTTTTTTTTTTTTATAGGATATTTATATATTTTCCAAATGTGTATGTATATACATGTGTTATCTACATATGTTGTCGTTTCATAATATTTGAAGGGTTAAGTTTTAAAAAGTGTATAATTATAATGATTTTCCACTTGAAATGTAAATGAATTCTGTAAAATAAATTTTTTTTGTGTAGAACTTGTTTGGCTAAGCTTTTTGATAGTCCGAGCGATTTTTCGGAATTTTAAATTTTTCGCCAGTTACAGTTTAAATACATAAAAAAAAGCTATGCTGAAAAAGTATTTATGAAATGAGTCACATATCGTTCCTAGTTTGGACTGGAATGAAATTTTTCAAAACTTTGTGCTTAGTCTTTCATATAGTATATTGTGAATAAGATACATTTTGAAAAATATATGAAACAATAATAATTTTTTAAAATATAATTACAGAGAAATGAAAATGGAGCTTGGGTATCTAATGGATCATTTTTTGATGCTCTGCAAAAATAAAATAAACATAACTTTTTCGAGAAAATGATCTTTTTCGCTAAAATTTCGCTAGCTTCAACTACTTTGAATCTGTTATGGATATTTGTCAGAATAAATTTATTGAAGAAACAAACAAGATTGACAATATACTATGCCATATAGACTAATGTTAAACAAAATCTAAATTTCCCGTAATTCTAAATCGAAGAGCTTCAATATGTAATACTACTATTAATAATACCGAGACTAAAATAAGAGGAGAATTAGAATTGGCAGCTAATTACATCCTATAGTCATCAACTCATTTCATTTCAAACCATTCATAAATTGGATTAAGTAGTCCTTTAATTGTAATGTACAACTTAATATACATATAAAATCGAAAATAATTTCTGATTAGGATTCACTTTTATACTCTTATCTTTGTACACTATATTTACAGTTTATTTTTTCTCCATATTTTGTATAATTACGAGTTTTTTTTTGTAAATGTGTATATTACGTATAAGAATTTAAGATATTTATAAAATATATATGAAAAGATGACATAGTATTGAATTAGAATTATTTTTATTATATGATTGCTATTATTGTTTTTATTTTATATTAGTTAAGACTGTTTAGTTTAGAGTGATGTTATCATAAACCTACTTATAACATACATACATACGTAATATGTGAAAGAGACTGAAAAGAAAAGTTTCTTTGTCTTCTTTAATTGCTTCATTTCAGTAAATTTTTCTCATTTTTTCTTCTGTTTTGATATCAATTTAATAATATTAAAGCGAATTTTATTGAAGTCAAACATATATTGCATACGTTCTCCTACACATGTACATACATACGAGTATATCCATTTAGACATATCGTATATATTTCATATTTTAAATAAGATTATGTTTTTGTTGAGCACGCAAAAATATGATGAGGGAAAATGTATTTAAACTATGCCGATCCGATTTTGACCAAAAATTGAAAATTCAAATCGGTCTTGATGACTAATATTCAAAGCATATACACACAAAATGTTGGTCTACAAGACTTTATTGGTTATTATTATAATACCAAAAATTTTTTAAAAATGATTTTAACAGAACCACATATATTTTTGTTGAATTGTCCCAATGACTAACATGGAATTCGCGATATTCAAAATTCACCTACTTAATTTAAGTGAATTTCGCAGAATACTGTAATCATTCTATATAGTAAAAAGTGACATATTTAATTTTAAAAATTTCACCTAATATTTTATGGGACAAAATGAGAAATCGAAATGAAAATAGAAGTTAAAATCTTATATAGTTAGAAAAATCATACATAAATCTTCATAGAAAATATACAAGAACATAACCCACTCTGTAAAAATTTATTTGTATAAATACAACACTGTTTAATAGAGTTCACACATACAATATGCTAAGTAATATACCCGCACTAAATTATAAATAATTTAATAAACTAATATTTTTACAGTGTAATTAAGATCTTTAGGTCAATTAAAATTATATTTTGCTTTACAATTATCAAACATGTGCAAGACAATGTAAACAAATACTTTAGATACATAATTAGAATAACGAACCGACTTCAAATTTATATTAAAATTTATTATGTAAAAATAAAAAAATCATAGACCTCCTACAAATTTTCTACAACGCAAGGAATTACGTATATTTTAGATTGCAGACTTCAATAAAACATTAAATTGACAATAAATTAAAATTATAATAATTAAATTTTATTTAAGACTGTAAAAATTATGTTAAAATTATCATTGCGATGACAAGAAACAGAAAAGAAAACAGTTGACCAATTTCCGGATTTCTTATATAAGCAATTTACATATTTTGTTTTGTGTGGTTTTTTTTCGCGATAATTATATAAGAGCGTTGACTGCATATTTTTACTTACATATGGTTTACATATTCTGTTTTAATTTTCAAGATGGTTTCTATTTTGTTTGAACGGTGTTAAGAGATGAATTAAAAACAAATTTTTGAGAGAAAACATTTAAAGCGTGTCGACGTTTTCTTATTGCAGTTATAAAAATTCATGTTACAATTTTTTGTTTTTTTTTTATTATTTTACAAAATCTACCAGATTTATTACTATGGGTATGTGTAGCGTGTAATGAAAACAAATTTAAGAATATTATCTACATATCGAATTATTGCAAGCTATATATGTATATATGCATTATTCCAAAATACATAATAGGATTAAATATATAATATGCTACAAAAATATGATCTATATAAATTTATTAATGCGGAAATTAAACTGGTTCTACACTATATATTAATGAATCTAATGCGCACATAATAAATTCAAGATTATCGGTCTTATACATATGGAATATGTGTGTAGGTCAATTGAAGTATTGTATTTCAATAAAAGTGATATACAATAAATAATATTATTGTAATTATTAATAGTAGATTTTTCAATTTTGTATATGAACGAACGTTGCAAAAGGCCCCAATTTTCTTAATAATGAAATCTTCACAGAGTTTCATGAAATTAAATTATCCTTATCATTATTTAATGCTAATACTCCTATGAAAAACAGATTTCGTTACATTTAATATCAATTTATTTTAATCATACAAATTTATACGAATAAAAAATAATTTTATACGATCTTTATAAATTATTTTAAAATTTGGTTTATCTGTACAAAATTCAAACTTATATGTTTATTTAATTTAATAGTTTTGAGGATAAAAGTATTTAATAACTTCTCATTAAAAATTTCAATTTTTCAAATCATTAAAAAATTCAACAAAATCTACAATACTATTAGCAAAATAATGTGGTTGTTTTACTTCCGGCAATTGTTGAACATCAGCTTTATTTGAAGCACCTGATAGAACTAATAATGCTTGAAAATCATTATTTAATGCAAATCCAATATCTTGAACCAAATTATCACCAATAAATAGAACACGTTTTGGATCAATAATATTAAAACGTTCAAATAAATATTCAGCTAAAAGAACACCTGGTTTTCCTAAAACATATGGTCTTTTATTAGATAATTTTCTTAATAAATTTATAAATATTTCTGGTCCAATAACATTTAAATCTTCTTTTAATGGTATTACATAATCACATGCACCAACCATAAATAAACAATTCGGTTCTTGTAAATATTTATTTGCTCTATCTAATTTCGCAACATTTAAATTTAAATCAATATCAAAAATAACAGCACCAACTTCATCTTTTACTGGTAAATCATTGACAAATTGTTGTACATTTTCATATATTTTATTTTCAATATTTAATACTTTAAATCCAGATTTTTCCAAACATTCATTGAAATATTTATCAGCGATTGTGTATATCGGTTTTCTCATATCAATTTTTTTCAAATAATTTATGACTGATTTAATTGGTGTTACAACTTCTATTTCAGAAATATTTTTCACATTGATTTGTGTTAACTTATCATAATATTCATTTTCGGAACGTAAACAGTTATTAGAAACTAGATGACAAGTTTTACCAGCATCTTTAAGAAGATTTAATGCTAATCCAGAATTTTTTATTTGATCATTTACATGCCAAAGAACACCTGTGAAGTAAAAGAACAATTAATATTATATTTTATTTTTCGTTATAAATATAGTTGAAAGTATTTATGTAAGTATATACATAGCTATAATTAAGTTTAAAATTACATTTATATTAAAGTAATTTCTATTTAAAAATAAATTTTAAAATTCGTTTAATATTCATATGAATTCGAATTATTTGTGTTCATACAATATACATAGGAAATTATACAACTATAATATAGTTCGCACTTATACTATACACAAAATTTTTAGTAAATTTATAGTACATAAATCAATTTGCATAAAATAAAAATTTGCATATATTTGGGCGAACGTAAAACAAAATATTTTACTAAACAGACAAGGTTTCACCTTTTGTTTGAAATTCTATAAATACACTTTTGAAATTAAATTTGCATATTTAAAAATAAAAGATTTTTATATCACTTACATCTTGTGTAGGTGTTAAATACGTTCCTGTTACAAATTGCGTATCAAAAAAGATAAAATTTTCGCACTAATTTATTGAGCTAAAAGCTAAGAGGAAGTTAAAATTAGCATAATTTTTTGACGGAGATGAAAACAATAAAAACCATTATTTTTCTGTTTAAGGAATTTCTTATTCCTAAGAAGAACAAACTTTTATAAATCAAAATTCTTGGTAATTGTTTAAACGAATTTAATAATACGGCAAATAATTCAGTAAAATATTGTCATTGTTGTACAAGTACTTATGATAGCTGCGTAACCGTCATAAAACTAAAAGTTTTAAAACGCTTCCTTTTCAAATTTCACTTGAAAAATTTTATTAATTTAAAACTTATGATCTCTTATATATATACATTATTTTGTAGAAAGTTTTTGTACGGTACGGATATCACAGATTTAACATGATGATCTCTTTTTTTTCTGTCATTTTTAATATTTTAGATAAATTTCACATGTCGTAAAATGCGATTAATTTAAGTATAATTAATTATTTACAAATATCCCTTTAAAATTATTTAAATATAAATCCCTTTAAAATTTACACTAATTAATTAACTTGTGATATATTGCACTTTAAATCAACAAATGGTTATTATGTAAAAGAACGCTTACCGTCACAATCTGATAACACCATGTCAAATGAATCCAAAAATTTTTGTTTCTCTCTTTTATCTAATTCCAAAATATTTCTTAATTTTTTATCATACGTTTTACTTCTTAAATATGTCACAAATCTTCTTGACACAGATATCATTGAAATTATGTAATTAAAAAAAACAATCAGAAATAGAACTTAAAAAATTCGCAAGCAAAAACTTCTACTTTAATGAAGAATGAAATTTAAATGTTTCTTCAAGAAAACTCCTTTTTGCACTGCCTGTGCTTACTTATGAACGGGGATATTAAATACAAAAAAAGACTACTTCTTTCTAAGGTTTTGACAATTCTTCAATTTTTATATAATTTATTTTTTTGGTGAATTAATTATTTAAATTTTTATATGTTATTAAAAGACAAAATAATTTAACAACATACTAAGAAATTTTAATTACAGAAGATATAAATGACAGTTTCATAGTCGAAAATTTTGTAATGTTGCTGATTGGCAATTAAGGTTTGGGCTGTTAACCATTATTAATTTATCATTACTAATGTTATCGTCAAAATTGTCAAATTTATTTTAATATCATTAATGATTGGCATTTAAAAAAATTTATTCATGTCGCAGGAATAATTACAAATAATCCAAACTATGAACTTTTCTTTTCTTTGAATGCCTCCCTGTTTATGGTGGAAGATTTTAGTATGCACTCGTATGTCGAACATAAAGTATACAAAAATTTTCCCAATTTATACTTTGTAGTCGTGCAGAATTTATTTTTAATTCTTTACCGCATAGATTGAAAGAAAACATGCACAGATTTTCCTCGAAATTGAGTTCCACATATAGATCTCAACGAATAAGTGCTAATTACTTTAATTGCGCAATATAATTTTCAAAAAAGAATTGACAAACAATATTTTTTTTAATACTTACATTGGTTTCTAATATATAATTTGGTTTCGAAAATCCTTTAACTTTATGTACTGTGTGATTTCATAACGTACGATGAGACAAGAAACTTTTATTTTACCATTTTTGGACAAAATGTCCTCAAAGGACGATGAAACTTTCTTAAATCAATGAAGTTATCAACCTACTGTTTGCTATAATTCTCATATTTTTTCGTTAAATGAATTACGTAAAATTCTTTTTTTATGGTTACTACCATAAAATATATGTGATCGGAAACTATTCATTATACAAAATTTAATTCATAAAATTAGCATTTTGGCATGGCATGAGCGGCCAAATTACATGTAGTATTACAAAGGTGATTCTGGCGAAAAAACATACTTTAAGATATTTAGCGAAAAAACGTAAGCTACAAATAATTAATTTTTTATTATGACTTTTTTTTTAGAAAAAATTTGTATCGCCTTCCTTGCTGTGGAAATAACATTTACGACACGGTTGCTTGTGAATTTATTATACAAAAGTGATTGAAATTTTAGTACAGATTAAAATTTTTTTTTAAATAATTAAAACAAAAGTTAAATTAGATTCGAGCTTATTATTTGAACTTATTAGTTCTTGTGATTTGTTTTAATTTACATAGCATTCAACTAAGGTGTAAGTTACAATCATAAAAAAATTACAAAGAAATTACTATAAAATATTTATGTAAATACTTGTAAATTTGATCACTATATATACAATTTAATTAGCTCGGTAATAGAATACGTTACACGTGACCGTGTTCATTTGTTTGTTTGAAAATGCAATAAAGGTAAACATAATAGATTAAAAAAAATTAAAAAGCAAATACAATTTTTTTTACTAATATATTTATATTAAGCTTATTCAAAATATGTTTGTTTAGTATGTACATATGTATGTTATTAAGTAATTTAAAAAAAAAACTGGAATTTATAGAAAAAATGAAATCAATTGATTTGCTATTTGAGTGGAATAAAAATTTCATAAAATTTTCTACTCGCGTAAATAATTCAACAAAATGAGTGGCACAATTTTTTCTAAATACATAGAAATAGAACATATTAAAATGGACTTAAGAGACGAGAATAGCAGAACTGTATACTGATATTTCAAAAACTTGCAAATTAAATTGAAGGCTTAAATTTAGCCAAATAAACAAATTGTTTCTTAGCATTTTCGTATAGCTTTACAAAATAACAAATTTACTCCTTCACATATGATGTCTATTATGCCATATAATATACACAACATAAAATGTACAGAGCATGTTTATATTATATTTACTCTATTCTACACACACACATTATATGCTTATTCCATTTGTAATAAATTTTTTTTTCATCAATTAAATTTAAATTAAGTCAATTTTATACTCGATTTAAGTATATGAACTTTAGGCAATATAATTTACTTAAATTTGTTTGAATTTTTTATTCGGGAAATACCCGGGTAGTACTCTCTCAACTTTTACTGTTAGCCTTAAATTGTGTTTCATGACTTGCAAACGTAATAATTTTACTAAATACTATGAAATATTAAAAATGAAATCAATTAATTAATAACAATAAAAAATTTTGTTTTATAAAATCTACATTTTGATCATATTTCCTGATTTTGGACGAGAACTATATTGTGTTTAATTCAAACTTATTTGGTATATTAGGCATACATAATTTTATAATATTATTACAATTGCAATTTCATTATTATTTTGCGATTAATATAATATTAAAAAAAAACTTCAATTTTTCAAATCATTAAAAAATTCAACAAAATCTACAATACTATTAGCAAAATAATGTGGTTGTTTTACTTCCGGTAATTGTTGAACATCAGCTTTATTTGAAGCACCTGATAGAACTAATAATGCTTGAAAATCATTATTTAATGCAAATCCAATATCTTGAACCAAATTATCACCAATAAATAGAACACGTTTTGGATCAATAATATTAAAACGTTCAAATAAATAATCAGCTAAAAGAACACCTGGTTTTCCTAAAACATATGGTGTTTTATTAGATAATTTTCTTAATAAATTTATAAATATTTCTGGTCCAATAACATTTAAATCTTCTTTTAATGGCATTACAGCATCACATGCACCAACCATAAATATACAATTTGGATCTTGTAAATATTTATTTGCTCTATCTAATTTTGTAACATTTAAATTTAAATCAATATCAAAAATAACAGCACCAACTTCATCTTTTACTGGTAAATCATTGGCAAATTGTTGTACATTTTCATATATTTTATTTTCAATATTTAATACTTTAAATCCAGATTTTTCCAAACATTCATTGAAATATTTATCAGCGATTGTGTATACCGGTTTTCTCATATTAATCTTTTTTAAATAATTTATGACTGATTTAATTGGTGTTACAACTTCTATTTCAGAAATATTTTTCACATTCATTTGTGTTAACTTATCATAATATTCATTTTCGGAACGTAAACAATTATTAGAAACTAGATGACAAGTTTTACCAGCATCTTTAAGAAGATTTAATGCTAATCCAGAATTTTTTATTGGACCAATTATTAACCAAAGAACACCTGCAAATTGATGAGAGAAATATTGATGTAAGTATATTAAGAACACAATTAGCATAGTACAAATATTTTTTGTTTTATTTTAGTTGTTATTTTAAACAAAATGAAAATCTTTATTTTCGCTTTTAATGGACAGATAAGCACAAATACTTTATCTGCAGTTAAAATAAATATTTTACTCATTTTCATTAGAAGGAAAATCAACATTAGAAAAATTTGCATACGGTTAGGCGTACATAATATACGTTCATTGCGTCAAACTAGATTTATCATATGCTTAATTCTGCAAAAATTACTTTGAAATGAGGAAATTTATATTTGCATATTTATTAAGTTTTAATAACAAATTGTTTAAGCATAAAAACCTTTTCCAACTCTAGAATTGGAATTTATTTACCCTTATTTATTACAAAACTGGAATTGTTATTCAATCATTTAATTGTGTAAACCAAAATATTAAACAAATGTAAATAAAGTTTATCAATCATTTTTATAGAACGAAAATAAAATATACCCAATCGAGATTTATTATTCATAAACTTTTACGATTATATATCCTCTAATTTCCAATAAATTTTCCAATAAGTTGTACTAACGTATAAAAAACAAAATCTATATCATTTATTAAAAGTATGTGACAGTGATGTAAGCATTTTAATATTGAACTACTCTAGAAATGTATTAAAACTTATTTATTCTAACGCAGCTTAAAACTCAAGTTTTTAAGTTGAATTTACATTTTGTAAACTTCTCAATATATTGAATATGAAAATAATCATTGAACTTATGTTCAAGAATTTACATAAAATTTGAACTTTCTTAAAGATGAATTGTATTCACTTATTTTCCAACATGAATTAATTCCCTATAAATTACATGATTGTATATAAAAACCCCATGATTCAGCAACAGTCATATAAGAGAAATGAATAGATTGACACTAAAAAATTTATTGTAGTTAAGCAGCAGATTTTTATACCTAACACAATTTATGTCAATGAAATATGACTTCTGAATTAAGTAAAAATTTCTTTTGAAAAATTGTAAATTCGAAAAGTATTTATTGATAACTTTTTAACTACCACGATTCGAAATTATAAGTAATATTTAATTGACACATAATTTAGCAACTATAACTCTTAAACTGAATTGAATATTTTAGTACAGTATAGCCTGCGATTTCGAAGTTGGAATTGATTGCTATGTCCAAAATTATTTACTTTAAATTATTCTCTAACTTGAGCCATTAACAACTTCCCAATACACAAAATATTTCATTTTTATTTATAATTTCAAAATTATTCACCTCATTTGCATATTTTAAATGCAAGAAACTGAAATTTACTTACCGTCACAATCTGATAAGACAATATCAAATGAATCCAAAAATTTTTGTTTTTCTTCTTTATTTAATTCTAAAATATTTTTAAATTTTTGATTGTTCATTTTATTTTTCAAATATAATATTATTGAAATTTTTGACAACAAAATTATTTGTCAACACAAATTTTAATTTTGAAAAATTGACAACTTAAAAAAAACACACGTCCTACTTCAATGAAGAATGAAATACAAATGCTTTTTCAAGAAGACTCCTTTTTGAATACTATCCACATTTGCTAGCTTTAAGACAGTGGGATATTAAAACACATACACATTAACAAATAAAAAATTATCCGGCATATGGAGCTTTGTAGAATTTTGCTTTTTATTATATTTTTTTTTTGTTTTGCATTTATCATTTAGATTTTCTTATTGTTATTGATAACACTATAGAAAAATCAACTGCATTAGGTACTATAGGCAGTTTCATATAGTTCAAAATTGTGTAATAATAATTATTGTAAAAATTTAAACTATGATTTGAGTTCATGTTTTAAAGTAAATTTTATAATATGGTAAGTGTAGTTTAAATAATCATTTATGTCAAAAATTTTAAGGAAATTATAAGACTGCAAATATTGTTCAAAAAATTTGTTTGATGAGAGCTAGATGGCTTTCTGTTTTTTAATCAAGCAAAATATATGGACGTTTGTAAATCAATCTGTTAATCAAACTTTCTTCAAACTTTAAAGAATTCATATAAATTCCTATATTTTGATAATATTGGCCGTTAGTTAGCCTCCACATTGTGTTTTTAGCATTAACTCACGGTCTATACTTGCTAATATAAATTATAATTAAAATTTCATGCTTGATTTAAACTCATACATAATGTAATTGTAAATGAAAAAATGTCCAGTTGGAAACTAAAATTTAACATAGAATATTTTTTTTACCAAGTTTATATACGTATTTCTTAACACGTGCAATCTACATGTAGCACGTGTATTTATTTCAGAAAATAATATTAAATGTATGCGAATGTGTACGTATATGTGTTTTCATTTATATAATATTAAATTTCGTTTTAAAATTCTTAAAGATTACTATAGTTTACTAAAAGTTTTTTCTCCGAATTTAATAAAAAATTAAAAAATATTTATGTACTAAAATATAAATTTATGATTTATACCATATATTATGTACTCGTACCTATGTATGTTGATAGGATATTATTTTGATGAAAGCAGGAAACAAGGTTAAGTTCAAGTATTACCATACCATACAATCTATTTTCCAATCAATGTGTAACTGTATATGATTTGTAAAAAAAGTTGAACAATTTCCGAACTTGTACACTAAAAATGCATATACTTATAGTATTCTTTCATGAGAATTCTATTTCGTAATATGTATGTCCGAAATATTCGACTGGTTATTCACTTTTAAGTTGTTATTAGAAAGAAACTATAATATATTGCCCGTTAGAACTCAAATAATATGATCACTGTGAATAAATTTATTTAGTTGCAAAATACACGTGAGAACATAATTTGTTAAATTCAAATTGCATAAGGTAAACATTGATATTAAAATTTACAACCATAAAATAAAAATAAAAAATTTGCCATTATAAAAAATAATTTTTTTTCCGGAAAACTAAGTGATTCATTCATTTTTTTCTTTTTGTATTAACACCTTTTCAGCTTATTCAAATGTAAATGTACTATGTATATTTGAAAGTATGCATACATAATATCGAAACTATTAGAACTTATTAAAATAAAAAAAAAAACAAACAATGTATTGAATGTATGAGTGAAGAATAAATTTTAGTAAACTTTTTTCGGTTTACGTCATTAAAGAAATTTCTTTTCATATTTATAACTATAATTCTGTTTTAATTCATATGAAAATTATTATAAATGAAAGCTTTAACTTGACGTATAAATAATTTCAAAAAGGTGAGTTAAAAAAACCTTTGATTTTATTTTCAATTTTAGATTTTTAGTTAAGATTTACAGAAATAAAATAAATTTAAATGTTTATGTCGAAGAATATTATGAATTATAAGTGTAATGTATTAATTATTTACATAAAGTTTTTGAATGTAGCACTGGAAAATTTTATGATTTTCTACGGAGACTAAACAATTTACTTATATAGAATAAAAATATGAGTGATATGATGTGCTTTACTTGAATTGTAGGTCTTTCTCGTATGTAATTTTGAATTAAATTTAAATAATGCTAAATTGATACTTGAAATAATTATTGGGCTATTAACAGCTATGTTAAGTAATAAAGGAAAGAAAATTACATACAATTATATACAAAAAAAGAGAATATTATTTTTAGTGAGAGAAAAATATGGTCATACTTATTTTTATAATAATGTAATGAAATGTATTCTCTTTTTTATTATTATTTTAGTCTATGGCATCTTAAAACAGTATTTATGTATATTTAAGTAAAGTGACATGTACAAGTATAAAAAAATATTAATTTAATTGAGAATTTTTCGATTCCATTCGAAAACCAAATGTAAAAGAAAAATAGAGGGAAATTCCCGAGAAAAATACTTTTTGTTATACATAATTGCTTTTAAAATTTTACATGTTAGGTTTTATTTTTGACAATTGGTAATTTTCTGTTTCCCACATTTTAGTTTATTAAATATGGTTTTAATAATGTACATATATGTAAAGTCACATATAGTGTGATTACTGACACAATATTTATCTACTCTATTATAATATAATAGAGCTTTGATCGCGAATATCTTGAATTTTTCTCTTACCATTTACATATAGGGAATTTAATTGAAAATTAATGCGGAATAAAAAAAATATAACTTTGAAATATTTTAAATTATAAAGATCAAACATTACGAATAATTTATTTTAAATCTTTGCATTCTACTATTAATTAGATTTTGAATTCTTTGTGGTTTTTTGATCCGAGATGCAACTAAATACCGGCAATAGTCAGAAAAATTTCTGTCAGGAAATTGCCACAACATTTTTAATTATTTTTATTGTCTATTTTTATATCAGTGCATTTTAATATTCTTTTACATATTTTTTTTATTGACAACCACATCTTTTAACAACCATATTATTAACTTTTTTTAAAACTACATTACTATCATCAACAAAGTATAAAATTTGAATTGCTCCTAATTTTAATGGTGCACATAAGGGTTTTGGTACTCCACCAACCATTAACTGAAATAAAAAATTTAACCATTTTAATAAACTAAAATAATCCTTAATATATATGTTATAGGGTATATAAGTATTGAAATTAAATTTGAACATTTAATTAAAAACTAACATGTACTAGAGCTTGAACAATTGCATGGCTTGTTGCATTCATATGTGCATTTAATGGAAAAACACATTCTCCTTTACAATAGTATGCTTCATAACCTTCCGGTGCAATTATATTATCCTAAAATCATTGAAAATGCAATATTTAAACAATAAATTAAATCTAATGTTAATCTGAGAAATTAAATTTTTTTACAGCACTTGGAAGCTCATCGAAGGATACATGTAAAAAATGTAATTTACATTCTCTTTCTGTATGTAAATCCTGTTGTCGGCCAATATTTGAAAATGGATTTTTTGGTTTATAACTAAAAGAATCACGTTTAATCCGATGAAGACTTCTTGGGATTTTATTAATCTGAAAAAACCCATAATTTTTAAATTTTAAATTGGAATATTTTACAATATATTTTAAATTTACCTCTGGTCCTTTAAAATATCCAACTAAAAAAGTTTGATATTCTTCATCACCATGTACATTAACATATCCAATATCAGAAAGTTTAATTTCATGCCTTGGTCTGCCATCTTCATGTGCACTTATATATAAACCATTATTTTCTTTTGGATTTTTTAACCATTTATCTAATACATCTGTAACATTCATTTCAAGCCATCCATGATATTCGGTTGTAGTATTAACAGAAGAAACAATTTCTAATTCTTTTTGTCCATCAGCTTTAACAATTGAATAAACTGTAATTATAATATGTTTTTTTAATCCATTCAAATTGCCAAGTTTTGAATTTTGAAATATTCTTAATTCAGCCATCATTAAAATTGCATCTCGTGATACTTCTGATACATCAAACCATAATTTACGTCCGTGCTCATGTCGTACTTCAGCTATATGATGATCTGAAATTCGAATTAAAAAATTGCTAATTCTTGTTTCTGTTGTAGGATTATGCTTTTTAATTAATTTGAAAGACAAGAATGTATATGGGTTCACCTTTATGTAAAAATGCCATTATAATATCAGATTTCCGGAATGCTTTCTCATCAATATCAGTTATTAAATTCGTGTTATCGGGAAAAACTTCCCTTTTTGATCGTCGAAAATATACACTATTCTCTTTATTCATTAATTTATCATAAACATTAAGTAAAAATTGAGGTGCAGAGTTTCTATATAAAAGAGAAAAAAATTATTCATAAGTTTAGAAGTTTCATTTTTTTCTAATTGTTATTTAATTTCTTAATACAAATTTGAAAATTCTGAAAACATTTCCTCTCTGGAATAATTTATAGTCTTAATTTCAAATATTTATAAATCTGATTATTAATCTGACAGTTTCTGTTATTGCTCAATTTGAATTAAATTTTCTTAACATATCTAGATTCCAGAAGTTGGTATGCCTGATTTCTTGAAACAAGCTTCCTAAATGTATGCAATTTTTTAATACTTTAATGTAGAATTTCAATGAGAGTAAAATCAAAACTTATTTGGCAACCGATTTTGTTGCAATTTTGTTTAAATCAGTTTAAATCAAAAGTATAAAAAGAAAAACCGTTTGTAACTGCAGTTTCTACTTAGAATTACAAGCATACCATGCTCAATGAGCATTTTTTAACACACATTAATTTTTATGATTTGGTTAAACTTCCGATAATTGTCAATATTATTAAAACTCCTTTAGAAATGCATGAAATACTGATAAAGAATCATTGCTTACAAATTTTTTATCATAATTTTTTTATTGGATTAGTTCTCTTCCATATAAATTGAAGTTATAATTTTACAATTTTCATAACATAGTTTTCCTCATGTAATGACATTGAAGCTTAAATTCTACTTTATCTAACCATAGATTCTATTGCTACAATAATTTTTAAGTATATCTCAATAAATTAACTTCAAAATCTAACCGGTGTATTGATGACAAAATGTCTAATAAAATTATAATAATTTAATAAATGTACACGTGAATTTTATAAAAACAAATAAATTAGAAAAAAAATACTAAACTCATAATTCTTTTAAAAGCTTTGTAGATGTCACTATAATAAATATTCAGACAATTTTATCGACAGTCTTTGTCTATATATGAAAAATTAATGAATCAATTTTTAATTCTACGAGTACATAAATAATTTTAAATTATAAGCCCATTCAGAAATGTTTTTAGATAATATCAATTTGTATTTGTATAAGTAGGTAATATTGTTTTTTTTTCGCTTTATTTATACAAACTAAACTATATTTATAAATTCACAAAAGATTAATTTAGTTGCGATAAAAATAATTTATTTTGTTTGCAATAATAACCTGTTTCAATAATATTTTTATTATCGATTTTATTAATGAATTTAATATATATTTGTGCGGTTTCATTGAAAAAAAATAAGAAAGAAATAAAAATGTCATTTAATAATAATATTTATTTATTCTCTATCAAATTTAAATTTAAATTAAAGTAAACCTAAACTAATATTTCTATATTGATTGCAATGATTTTCATCTAGTGTAATTTAATACCATAAAATATAATATTATATTTTATATTGTGTATACTTATAAACAACACAAAAGGTTTTGATTCAATGGAACACTTGTTCTTAAAATATAATTTTTCTGTTAAGCATGTGGCAATAATTTACTATAGTTTAATTAATTTATCATATCAAAAATCCATGATTTATCATATCAAAATTTTTTAGTCAAAAAACACCATGTTTTCCCATAATTAATTACATATTTTGCTCATATACAACTGCAATGCGCTTAAATTGATTGTCACTTTCATATTGCTGAAGAGAGTGTATTCAATTTATGTATTCAAATATTTGGCACATAATTTCAGGATATCCACTTAATTAGTATTTATTTGTGTAAATTTTATTAACTGTTAATCAATCTATTTAAAATTTGTCCTTATCACAAAATTAAATTTACGAATAATTCAATTAGAATATGAATCAAATATATTAACAACAATTTACAAGATCCTGTTTTTATATCGTAAAACATATTGTGGCGCAATAAACTCTCTGAATGAATATTATGACACAGCCTGATTTTTAATAAGTAAAAGCTTAAAATGTCATAATTCATCCTAATCCCATAGTTTATTAAACTCTTAAGAAAACGTTTTACAATATAAAACCGATTTTGAAATATTGTTGCTTGCGCTACTTCTGCTCTCAACCTTTTATAATTATTATGTCAAAATTTACCTTAATGACATTAAATGACCGGGATTTCTTTTTGATGGTAAACCAATAAGATTCATAATATCATTTTCAACACGATTCATTTCATATTTATCCAAATATCGATGTAATATTGTACGATCAATACCATTGTCATAATAAATACCAGATGAAGAATGATGACATTTTACAAAATAACAACAATTATTAATTATACAAATTGTAATAAAAATTAAATACTTTAATAAATTTTTAAAAATTTTCATATTTTTTGTTTTCACATATATGTATACATATATATATATATATATAGATATTTTATTTAATATTATAATTTAATTAAAAACAAAAACAAATTTTGATTTTAAGACAGAATTAATTAAAAACCGTGATCGCGTTTTTATTCTTATTTTTTTATTAAATTTCTTTTATAATTTTCTATGTAAATTTTTGACGTGTTTTCTACTAAATTCCAGAATTGACTGAACAGAAATAAAAAAACTAATATATTTATTTATAATTTTTAATTTTATTCTAATTAATTTTATAAGCTTAAGAAAATATATAGAACTTTTAATTCTATACAATTATATATATATTTATATTACAAATTATATTATTTTCAGCTAATATATAAGAGGTAATAAAGGTATATAAGAGTATATATGTAGATATATACAGTTAGTATTTATAAATTTATTAAGTTATAAGTTCAGATGAAATCTGGAATCAAGTATACGCTCTACAGTTTATTCTTATATTAAGTAATATATTATAAATGTACGAGTACGAGTATGTATAATATAAAAATATAATGTTAACCACAAAAATGAAAAAACTCATGCATATGTAGCTACAATTTATATTATATCTGTATATGTATTAATATACGATATTATATTATTAAATAATTAAAATTTGATTTAATTTACCTATGTATTATAGATATTTTATATTTTATTGTAATATATTAAATAATATTAACACAAAATTTAAATATTTCAGATATTAGTCTTAATTAATGTTGTTCAACTTTGTTGCTACAAGTGTATCACAAAGTGTCAATAATTAAAACAAAATGTAAATAATTGCCGGGCAATTTCTAATTTAATGTCTTCGCAATTTTCATAAAAAGCATTTATATTGAGAAGACTGTTGATGAGTTGCTGCTACAATTTTTGAGACAAAACGACTATGAGCTTCAATTTGAAAATGATTGAGAACCAGTGGTATAAATAGAATAGTGTAGCTTTCTTTATAATCTAATTTCAAGCTGGTACTTAAAAACAATCTAGAACATTTTAAATTTCACCTTTACTTTCACTCTATAGAAATGTTATAGAAAGCTACATAGAGGCTTATTTTAGAATATTTATTTTAAGGTTGTATGTTTTTTAATTCATTAATATTATTCTACTTTTTAATTTGATATTAAAATTTTTTTCAGCTCCTCCTAGTCTATGGAATATTCCTTATTCCAAAGATAATCCAGGATTTTCTTTTATGCGAAGCATTCATTGTTGAAATTTCAAATTGAAGAAAAAATCCGAATATCCATGCAATATTAAAAGGAAATAACTTAGTACAACAATTTTTATTTCTTATAAAACTACATTTTAATTAATTCTAATTAGAAAATAAATTAAATACATATTTAAAAATATATATATGTACATATATAATAAAATATTTCAATAATTATTTAATTACATTTTCTTTTTGTTTTTTATCATTTGGTAAGAAATTCCATAAAACAAATAATAAACAAACCATTGAACCTAATAATATAAATAAAAATTCACATTGATAATTTAAAATGATTCCAGTAACATTACTACCAACAAATGAACCTAAACGTGCCATCATTGTTATTAAACAAAGTGCCATACCACTAATATTTGTTGGATAATAAGCAACTGTTATTGATGTTATAAGACCAGCATTATCAGCATAAAGCATATAGAAAAATAATAATATAATATTAAAAGCAAAACCTCTAGCCCATATTAAACCAAGAATTGGTGGTCCACATAATGTCATCCAAATTACTAAAATAAAATTCAAAATTTTATTATTATATATGAAAAAATTTGTGTATCCATTTACATAATAATCTTCTTTTTCCAACAAAATCAATAATGAAAGCAAAAACGAAGTAGACAAATCCAAAACCAATTCCAGCAATTATTAAAATTTCTAAAACTAGAACATCAACACGCCTTGATGGTGAACATTCTGAATTATAATCATCATAAATTGAAAGATTTCCTGAAATTTGACGCAATTCCTCAGTATATAATCGAAATGATTCGCATAAAGTTAAATTTGTATCTGAATATTCAACCAATGGTTTAATCATTCCGGGTATCCTATGTGTACATATGTATGTATATAAAAAAAAAGTAAATAAAAATTTAGCATGAAACAAAATTTAAATATTTTTGTTGACATTCAAATCAAAATAGTATTTATTAGAATTAAATTCAAGCAGACTTTTGAACTAAAATAAAAAAATTCTTTCTCATTAACAAAAAAGGTATTTTTAGTGGGAAAATTTTCTATTTTTAGATTAAAATGACATTTATTTACGCACGCTTACCACATAAAGCTGCCATGGCAAACAAAAAATATAACAAATTGACAAATGCTTAAATTAATTGTTGTCCAACGTCTCTGTTTATCAAAAAGTGGTTTTGTTTGGGCCCACATTATTTTTAATGCTTCATGAACATTTTTTACTTTACTTAAATCACTAGCTAAATCTTCATTACAAATTACATAAGAAACTGGAAATGTATTTGGATTTTTTCCCGTATTAAATTTATAAACTTTTCTTAAAACATCAATTGCTTCATCTTGCTTCCCTTGTACAAGTAAAAATTTTGGACTTTCTGGGAAAAATGGTAATGTAATACAAGCAACCAGTGTCGGTATTGAATTTATTAATAAAAGTACCCTCCATGATGAAAATTTAATTGAACCTAGATAAATATTATATTCTTGTGGTAGAATACCGATTCCAGTTGCTGAAATTTAAAAAAAAAATATAAATCTCAAATTATATAAAAAAAATTTTATTTGCATATGTGCATAGTTACCAGGAAAATAAGTAGCACCGATAGCAAAAAATATTATTAAAAATGTAACAAATTTTGTTTTAGTTTTACTACTATGAAATTCTCCCAAATAACTAAATGAACACGATTGGCAAGCATTCATAAAAAATCCAACTAAAAATCTTATTATAATTAACGTCCAAATTGTATTTGCAAATACTGATAAAAATGAGCATATCGACCTATGTATACGGATTAAAATATTAATGTTAAAAAATAACAATATCATTTTTCCAACCATTTAATGATTTAACTTACGCTAAAAATACAGAATATTTTAAAGTTTTATTTCTTCCACATGTATCCGATAAAAGTCCCATTGTATGAGCACTAAAAACAACACCTAAAAAACCGGCTGATGCTAAATATCCTTGCTCTTGTAATGTTAAATTTAAATCACATTTTACTGAAACTAATATTATGCTAACACCCATTGTTTCAGTCATAAATGCTGATACACAAATTCCACATATTAATAAATGAATATAATGAAATTTTCCAACACCAACTAAACTGACAGCCTCATCAAATGTGTGTTTTAAGGTTTGTGGTTCTTGTTTTACATTATTTTCATTGAATTCTATTTTGTAAACTGAATTGAAAGAAAAGAAATTTTTTTAATCATATTTAGTATAACTAATATGATTTTAATAATTGAAAATTTAAAAATTTAATATTTTAGTTTTGCAGTAAACATAAAGGATATCAGGAGTGTATAAACTTTGCTCCTTTAATACCAAATAAAGTTTTCGATAATAGCTCTCAAATTAGAGATGTCAGGAGTGTATAAACTTTGCTCCTTTAATACCAAATAAAATTTTCGATAATAGCTCTCAAATTAGAGATGTTAAGACCAATATCTAACTTACATTTTAAGTTATCATTTATTTAATATTATTTAATATTAATTTACTGAAATTATTAATGTTAAATAATATTTACTATCTCAGATTTCAAAGTTTCTTGTTTTCTTGCAAAGCATTGTCATTAATTTTAATGGAATTGTTTTTTATTTTAACTACATTTTTTATTGATTTACTGTGGGATGTAAATTAAATATAATATTTTTTATTTATTTATTAACTCTTTAAAGTATTTTGCAATATCATTCAGTAATCAAAATTTAAGCCCTTCACAAAAAGAATAAAATTTTTTTCTCAACTGCATAATACATAATGTATACCAGTGAGTGTAGTTATTTATTTTACAAAATGAGCACATTTAACTTATCTTCTATTTATCTTAATTATTTTTATTTAAATTAATAGTTTCAGTTTTTATTTATATTTAAAAAATACAAACAATTAAATTAAGTAACAGTAAAAGAAAAAAATATTTTATAAATATTTACTTAAATTTTAGGCGCTTTATTTGAAATATGTAGAAATGATGGCTAAACCATGTAGCTTGTGTTATATTATAAAAATAATATAAATATTAAAATATTTTTAATATTTTTATATTAAACAATATAAATATATTGTTATATTGTTTAATGTTATATTTGTTTGTTTAAATTTACATAAGATTTTGCAAAATATAATTAAAATTTATAATGCGATTATTAAACTTAAGATTTATAAACATAATGTAAGAATTTTTGACATTATTAATCTTTTGTTTGTAAAATATTATTGACATATTTACGATATCGAGATAAAATACAAAAAAATCGAACAATATTCTGTCAAAAGAATTTGAATCGAAAGAGTATTTGAATAGAGTTTGAATAGAAAGAACGAGAGGTTATACGATAAGAAATTCGAATATTTTATTTGATTGCATCGCAATATTAAAGATGTTAATCACTTCTCCTACTTCCTTTTATAATGAATATGGTGTTTAATAATGTTTTTTATTTCTCCACTGAATTTATTCTAGTACATTATTATATTATGTATTATAACGCATACAGTTCATAATATTCAAGAGAACTAAAGTGTATTTGTTTATTTTCCGTATCAAACTAAATTTTCCGAATCAAACTAAATTAGCATATTACTATTTATATATTATTATATCATATAAAAAAACTCAAGAGAATATTTGAGAGAGAATTTGACACTCTGAAATTTTCACTTGTTTTGAAAATTGCATTTGAAATTTGCAGTTTTTAATATACTTATTTATAATTCTTTGTTTTTGTGCCAAAATTTGCCATCTAATGAGGAACATGTATGTATGTTACATATGTTAATTGTTAATGATATACAAACGCATTTATACAGTTTTTGAACGTCATAATATTTGCGATGAAAATTGAGAACTAAGTTCAAGGTTTGTTTTTTTTTTCTTCTTCCATCTATATTATTTTTGATTTGTTAGCATTCAAAAAGTTTAGTAATACGTATTTATCTTGAATTCTCTATTTACATTTTGTTTGTTTCAAAAGTTTTTAAAGAAAAATGCTTAATTTCTAAAAAAATATTAAAATTAGGTAGGTTTTCAAAATAGTTATAGGATTACAGGAAAATTAAAATAATTTGATTCGAAAGTTTATAAAAGCGCATAATTTATTTTTATTTAAAATTGCCACTGAGAAATGAAAAAAAGTGACATATGAAACAGTTTTGCAGAACGTTATTTTGTTTATAAAAATAAATAGTGCAGAGATTGTATATTGCATTTATATATACATAAATATGAGTTTATTCATATGTATGAAAACTGCTAAAATACATATATAATTACAAAACAATTTCTGCTACAATATACAACTGCCAAAGATCGATTTAATCAAAAGTCTAATAGAAAACAGTCTGCTACATACTAAAAATACTCTTGAGTACTAAAACGAACACCTTATTCATGAAAGCAAATTATAATTGTATTTTACTGTTACTCTTGTTTATATGTGCACATATATGTATATGAGTTCAAAGTACACACAGTTTTTTGTTTAATTATAAAATCGCAGCATATTTATATTTGCGCAAGTATCGAACTTCTCAAAATTAATGACACACTTATAAAAGCTTAAATTATCCATATTTTGTTTTTTTTTGCGAATTCTTTAAACTATCACTCAAAATTCTTTTAGTACAAACATTCTAAAAAAATTTTATTTCAATATTTATTTAATTTATTTTTAAATACACCTTATATTCCTTCCTAAAAATTTTCGCATTTTTAGATCTTACTTATATACTGCTGTAGTTTATATCTTTTATTACTAAATTCAAAAATTATCAATACATTTTAAAGCATATGAAAACTCTGAATCAAATATTTTATTTTTATTCATATATATATATTTCATATTATTACATAACAAAAATTACCAATTAATTCGAAAATTAAATTAAGGACATAATTTTTCCCTTACTTTGCTTATTCTTATCCAAACTATCATCATTATATCCTTCGTTATCCATTTTCAGAAATATTATTTTCTATTTTATTTTTAATATTCTCTTAATTCTTGTATTGTTCCATTAATATATTAATTTTATACCGTACCGAGTCAAAATCAAATTTGAACTAATTGAAATTTTTCAGTTCTCCTCCTTCTAATATAAATTTTTATTTATTAAAAATACATTTATAAGTACATATACAAGAATCTAAGAAAATTATGCATTAAATATCTATATATACGTACATACATATACAAAAATTATATATATCATGTGTATCTCATTATTACATATTATTTATATGATATTTAAACAGCTTTAATTTTAAATATTATTTTATTATAATTATATTATATGTATTTTACTTTTATGATACTTAAAGAGTATACAATTATTTTTATTTGCAAATAAACTAAATTTTTATCTTACTCATTTAATATTATAAAATCTAAGTTAAAGAGATGGATTAATTCTCAATGAACTCAAAATAACCAAAACAAATTGTTTTATATAAGCGCATACATAATTTATTACGTATATATGCATGTATGTAACATATATACTTCATTGCCTATTCTGATAACGAACCCTTGACTATCTATATAAAATATTATTATTATTATAAATTATAAATTTTTCTTAATTAAAAATTAATTTAACGTTATGATTTTTAAGTTTATATAAAGATGATGGACGATATTTCTTAAGATAACTTTCTTTTTAACAAAAATGACCAAGAACAAAAATATTGCATAAAATGAGGATGAGACTTTTGGATTTCAATCCTTGAATGAGTTAGGAACTTTCTTTTTTCCTTTGTATACGTGATATTTTATCCTACAGCACGAATAGAAGATTACACGCCGTAATTTAAAATAAAGGATTTTTGTTGCATTCTGTGGAGGAATAAAGGATTTTGTAGTTTTCCTGTTTCAAACTTGGAATATAAAAGTTCCCAGGATAAACTCTTTATATTTTGGAGAAAATTTTGTTTTGAGTAAAAATTGTTTTTCTCTTAAAAACTGTCATGAAATTATAAAACTCTCTTAACTAAATGTTTTAAGTTTTCATTATTATTCAGAAACATTTAATTTCTCTCATAAAATATTCTTAAAATAAATGGAAAATTGAGAAAATTTTTTATTTCTATTGCATTTATATACTGGTATTTGTGTACAAGTTCAAGTAGCTCTACATATTATATACATATTTTGTATTTTTTAATAGCTATAAGTTTTTACATAAAAACTTTTATTTGAAAGAAAAAGTAGATGTTTTTTTAGGGAATATTTACATACATATATACTTTTAGAGAATATTACATGTATACCTAACATTGGGAAATTCAATTTTATCAGCAAATATTTAAAAATATTTTATCAACTAAATAAATTTTAATATTATTAATTAAATTCTGTTTGTGAACTCATTCTTAAGTAATGGACATAAAATATTCCAGTTATAATTAGGGACACATTAAAATTTGAGTATTTCACTCTGGCTTCTAATTTCTGCATACTAATTTATCTAATTTTGCTAATTTATGATTAATATCTTCTAATATACACTAAGAAAATTGAAAGTGGAATATAAAGGGTATTAATTTTTTATTAAAGGGTTTAAATTTTAATAATTTTGATTATTAAAATTTTCTTTATATATGTATATCTAGTAAATTAAAACTATAACAACTTGTTTCTGTTATTGTATAATTATGTTTTATTTGTATTTGGTAATAAAAATGCTAATGGTATCATTAAAATAATGAGAGCACCATACATCATGTATAAAAATTCACAATTTGAATTCAAAATTAATCCAATAATATTACTACCGACTATTGCACCAATTCTACCAATCATCATTATTAGACACATTCCCATTGCATTTATATTTGTTGGATAATATTCCATTGAAATTGTATTTGTAATACCACCACAATTACCAACAGCCATTGTTAATGTTATTAATATTAAATTTACATAAAATATATTTGTCCAATATAATGCTATTGATCCAGCTCCTGCTATCGTTAAAAATATAACTATTTGAAAAAGAAATAAAATATTAATTAATAAATATATTGGCAGATATAAGATTTTTAAAATAAAATTTATTGCATACTTATTAAACGTCTTTTTCCTGTATAAACGATCACCCATGAGAAAATTAAATATAATATTGTGTATGCAATACCCATCATTATTAAAACTTGATACATATAAATATCAATATTATCTTCACATGCCATTTCTAATTCATCAATATCTGTTGTCACATTATAATTCATTGTTTCTGTTACTTTTTTCAATTCTCTTACGGATTCACAAATTGTAAAATCGGTATCAGCATAATGTACCATTGCATTTAACATAACTGGAAACCTAAAATTTATTTTCATCAATTCAATTCATTCATTTTAGTATTAAAAACTTTAATAGATATAAAACTTACCACATAAATGTTCCTTGTGCGATCATAAATATATTAAACATAATAAAAAATATATTTAATGTATGAAAAATCCTTTCTCTATTGAACAGTGGTACAGTTTGACTCCAAATTAATTTTAAAGCATCACAAACTGTTTTAACATTACTAAAATTGGCTCCAACAACATCTAAATAAACTTTTTCAACAGGATATGTACTTGGATCCATATTTGTATTCATTTTATAACATTTTTTCATTACCTCGATAGCCTCATCATGTCGACCTTGTGCTAAAAGATATTTTGGACTTTCAGGAAAACAAAGAACACCTATTAATGCTAAAACAGTTGGAATTGCATTGCATAGAGTTAAAAAACGCCATGATGAAAATTTCATTGATCCTAAATATAATTCTAATTTCATCGGTAGAATTATAGTAGCCAAAGCTGTAAAACAATAAAATATTAAAACAAAAACATAAAATCAAAAATAAGTTTTTTCTTAAAAAAAAATTGCATACATTTGGGAGATCAACAAAATAGTATTTTTGTGTACTAATAATTTAAAAAAAAAAACATTTCTGTATCAAAATTTTTTATTTACCTGGAAGAACTACTAATCCAAGTGGTAGAAAACATGAAAGCATTGTTACATTTCTTAAACGTGTTTTTTTCCCATGAAATTCTCCCATATAACTGAAAACACATGCTTGACATCCAGATATAAAAAATCCTACTAAAAATCTAAGTATTATAAGCATCCATACTGTAGTAGAAAATACTGATGCAGCTGATGATATAATACTATAATTATATAAAGTATTTTATAATCTTAATGATTTTACGAAATAAATAATATTTATATGAATTGTATACTAACCTAAATATTAATGCAAATTTCAAAATTTTTGATCTTCCCACAGTATCTGCGAGAAATCCAAGTGCATGTGAACTACATACAACACCTAAAAATCCGGATGAAGCTAAAATTCCTTGTTCATATATTGTAAAATCCATATCACATTTTGCTAATTCTATAACTAAACTTACACCCATTATTTCAACCATAGTAGCCATAAAACATAATCCAGATGTTAATAACAATAGTCTATGAAATTTTCCACTTCCTGTTAGTGTAATAGCTTCTTCAAAACTATAGCTTTTTATTTCAATTATATCACCATTTTTTTCGTGTCCATTTGTTATTATTTCAATATCTTTTTCATTTTTTTCTTTAGCTAAAAAAAATATTTAAAAAATTAAAATTAATTGTACATAAAATTATTTTTAAGGTTTTAATTAAAATCTTAATTCTTAATTTAAAAACACATAAGGTCAAGAGGTCTCATACGAACGGTCTAAATTTATTTTTAATGATGTTTTTGAAAATTTTAATTTGTTTTCGAATATTAATAGTTTTTGAATAAATTAATAATACTTAATAGGAAATATGCTAAACTTTCATAAATTCCAATAAAAATATCAATTTCCACTATTTCCTATAGCTATACAATGCTCTTCATGTTTATTTTTTAAGTCACGACAACCGCTTCAATTAAGAATCAAAAGCTGTACAAAAATGAATCGAATTTAAAAAAAATCGAATTTGTTAATTAGATTAAAGCGTCATTTCGGCGTCTTTTTTTTTTAAATAATCACAAATGTCATATACCATTAAATTCGAATTTTTTATAACAGATCGCTTGAATAAAAGTTGAAATTTACATTTTATTTATTTCTCTACAAAATTTGTTATCGCAGTTACATGACAAACATTATATTTTTAAAATTTATTTTTAGTACATGTGCAGTTTAAGTATGAATTCAATGTAAATTATTTGTAAATTAAATGAATACGCTCGCGGTTTGTACTAAAGAATTTTAAGGTTATGAATGTCAGCCATAAATCTCTTTTAAATTTGTTTTTTTTTTTTGTGTAAAAATTAAGCAAGTTGTTTTTTATTAATCAAATAAAATAAGTAAATTTGTATAGTTATGATCTAGGTAAAAATAGATTAAGATTAAATAATATATATTGGGTACTATTAAAATAGGTTTGTTACATTCAAAGATTTCCAAAATTTTTATTTTTTAATTATAACCTCAATTGGGTCAAGGTAAGGTAACTAGTATTTAGTTTTGTTTTTGTTGTTTAAATAAGACACACTTATTATTTTTTTATTATATTTGAATTTATGTTTGAATATTTTGAATATTATGTTTACATAGTTATGTTTGCTACATAAGGTATTTAAAGAAAAATCAACTTATGTTGTAATTTTAGAATTTTTTTTAAGATATTTATGTGGTTGGTATTATTTTTATCTTGAAAAATGTTTGTTTTATAAAAACAAAATGTAAATGACTTATGTTTTACGAAAAATATGATTTAATTTTATCTTTTGTGTATTTTAAAATTAAACTTAGAAAGTATAAGTCAAGTTCACATATAGAAACAGTAGAATTCATAAAGGTATATACATATGTATATATTACGTATATAAGACAATAATAATAAATTATTTTTTGAAGATATAAAGTGGGGGATATTATCAGCTTTTAATTAATTCTTCTCTATATTAGGTAAATTTTTGGCGAAAACAATTTCCTAGGAATTAACAGCGCTTTACTGTTCTAGTTTACGGAAACTCTAATAAAACATTTCAACTGGAAACAAAATTTAATCTAAATTATTCATTTAATACAAAAAATTATAAAGTTATTCCTTCAATAACTGAAATTAGAGCTATTTTTTGACATCGAGCCTTCAGACTATTATTTTAAAAATTTTACGGAAAAAAATTATTTTTTTAACAGGAAAAAATCATTTGAATCAGTTTCAAATATTATATAACAATTATTATTTTAAAGAAAAACTTCAGAGAGTTAAATCTTTGTATAATTTCGAAAGAAAATTTATATTTTTGTAAAAAGTTTATATAATTTAATTATTGTAAGCTTATCGTCTCATTTAATCTTTACATTGTATATTGTTATTGAAATTACGAACTGTAAAAGTATATTTATTTGTATAAAATAATTAGCAGGGCTTGATAGTTTTTGTAAACCTCATAAATGCTATTATCACTTTAAAATTTTAATAAAACAAATTATTTATGTACTCAGTTTAATTTTTACAATATTATCACTACAAATTTTTAATTACGAATAGTAATTTTTAATAACAAAAGAAAAACTTGTACAAATAATTTTCTATATTCATGTTGTAATTATTATCATTTTAATTGTTTTGTAATACATATATTACTTAATTATTATATGAAAGTTATACAACATTAAAATTTATGCAAAAATATGTTCAACAAATAAATAAATATATTTAAGATTTTTTTCAAAAAATATATTTAATATCACAATATAGAATATAAGATTTCAAATTATAAATATTTCGGGGTCACGAGATCTTGCAGTAGTACAGTAGTACTTAACATAGTTTGTTCCTTCAAATGCATACTTACAATTTGATAATTCAATGTCTTCAAAAGCTAAATTTTCCATTTTCTTTTCCTGTTTTTTTTTTTTATTTTTTTTTTGTCTCTAATTTATTTAAAATTCTTTTCCTAAATATTTAATAAAAAATTTCAGTATAAGTAAATTTTGTTCTATTTAAATTTATTTAATTTAAATGTCTTTCTTTTTTTTTAACCTAATTGCAATGACTTTCTAAAACAGAATGATTAAGAAATTAATTTTCAAATGGAGAAAATTAACTTGAAAAAAAAAAGTAAAATTTTATTTATATAGTGAGAAATTAGATTAAAACACTTGTAAATCTAAATGATGTATAACTAAGTAAATAATTTTCATAATTATTTATTTAATTATTTTTTTTGTTTTTTTTATTTCATTTATTAAATTACACTGACCGCACATTTACTAAAATTTTAAGTAACATTATAGAAGAAATTAAAAGTTTAAAACTTATTTTTATATTATGTTGCAAGTTAGGTATCATTGCAGCGCAGCTATATTGAATATGGATTTATTTTAGAATAACTTAAAATAACTTAAATTAGTTGACTTGCCCATTGAATTTCGAAATATAACTAAAAATGATCAAGATCTATGAAATTAAAAATTAAAAGCTTCTATCGAGGCAAACCTTGGAAATAACATCATTTTCCAGATCTAAGCTTTTTCAGTTTACTTCAAATATTACGTAGTTGATTATAGAACAAAAAAAAATAGAAATAGCATTTTACAAAATTTTGAAGATATTATCAAACTGAATTTTGACTCTCAATTTTTAAAAGAATTGGATTATTTAATTTATTATTAATTTTATTAATCTTACAATGGCAATACTCCAAAATAATAATTTGGTACTTATTATACTTCTATTTTTGAAAAACAAAAATGGGTTAATGGCAAATAGACTAACATTAGAAGAAGAAAATTTTTTTTATTATTCTACACGGAACACAAGATTCTAATTTTTAACTAGACTTACGCATCATATAATATTTAAAGTTTTGATAAGATTCATACTACCAGTATAGTAACTGATATATTTTATCAATTTTATCTAATGAATAATTTCTAAGCTAATGAATAATTTTATGATCATAAAGTAAATAATAATAAATGATGCTGATGAAAAAATACAATGTATAATATAGTTGTCGGGGTAAGGATTTTTTAGTTAATTTTTTACGTTATTAATATTATTAACAACTAAAAACTCTAGTTATAATTCTATTTATAATATAAAATTGTATTAACAACGCAATTTCTTTAACGCATACATCTAATTTAAGGCGCCGGAACTCAAAATGATATTGTAAAGAATTATTTTATCTAACAAAATTATAAATCAAAAAAAGTTAACAGGTAGCTACATTAAATAAAGATGTGCGGTATCTTTTAAAATTAAATTTACAAAAAATTTATCATCTCACTTATTTTAAAAATAAAAGTGTGAAAAAATTTACAAAAAAAAAAATTTCGAAAGTAATAAAAAATAAATAAAATATTTACATTTTAGATAAGTTTTTATTCTGAAAATATTTCACTGGTGCAGCACTATTAATTAAAACACATATTTTAATCCATAGATTACCATCAATTAAATTCATTGATTCAACAATATTGACTGTAAGGAAATTATATTCTATTTAAGTTCAAAGAAAACAACAAATGCAATAATATAGGTATGTTATATTATAATAATTTTCATCAAAATTATTTTTTTTTTGCTAAAATTGAACAGCGGTTCTATAAAAAATTATTTGGCGACATGATTTCTAAAACGTTATCATTTCTTTTACCATTTCATTCATCTCTACTTTACCTCGTATAATAAAGTTAATTTAGATATTAAGAGATAGAAACAATGCCAATTAAATTAAATTATTGAGTTATTTTTTCTTATCATTTTAGCTCATATACATAACTAAAAATATGATCTAATGGAAAGGATTACATATGCGTACATTCATAATATTATTATTACAGGAACCCTATTTGTAAATAACTTGCCATCATTTATATAATATTTTACATATTTAAAGTATTTACTTCTAAATTAGCAAAAAGTAAAAAATTGTGATTATATTTCTTAATATTACATTTAAAAAATGATAACATTTTGTTCAAATTAGATATTTTTAGCCAATCTAATAATGTTATAATTTATCTAATTATTAAATGTTGGCATATTTTATTTACAATACATCAGAATAGTTGGAATGTAAAAGTACCATCACAAATTCTAAAAGAGTAATGGTATTTTTGTAAAAATAAATTGCATTTTATTAACAAATTAAAAGATAAAAATTTGCAAATTCATTTACACGTTCATTTTACCAAATGAAGTAAAAACGAACGGTGCAGTAATGTAAACCTTAATGTAATAAGGTTTGTATGAACCTTAAATATCTTTTTGATAAAGAATTGCAAATTTATTAACTACATAAACAAAAATTTAAAATCTATCTTTAGAATTGAACAAGAATTTTTAATTATACAAGAATACCTATTACAAACAATCTAAAGAGACAGCTTTCCAATAATTCAAAAATTTATTCTGCCTAAGAGATTAAAGAAAGGATAAAATTAAAAGAACTTATATTATATTATTTCTTTTTGTTTTTTATTAATATTAATTTTTTTTTCTATATACATTTGCAATTATTAATTTTTTTTTGTTTCAGTATTAATTTTTTTTTTTCATTTTTTTTTTAATCTTCATTTTTATATAATGGCTAACAATTGTTTCATGTTTTTGTTCATCTTAAATTAAAAAAAAAAAATTTAATCATTTCTTTTTTACTATGTAATTATACTTTTCATTTTTTTATATAAAAAAAAATTTTAAAAAAGTAAATTATAATTTTTGTAGTTTTTATTATTACTTATGTAGAAAAAACTAATATTGATTTTTTATATACTATATTATTTATATAATATTAAATTTTGTTAATAATAAATTAAATTAAATTTAATTGTTTAAAAAATTTATTAAAAAAAAAAAAAATATAATATATTTTTCCCTTAGCTCTTAAATTTAATATACAAGATCATCGATTTTTAAAATTACACAAAATCTATATATATTTAATATAATATGTTTCAAATTTTTGTTTTCTTTAGGTAAATAATCTTATAATAATTTTAGTTATTTATTACAATATGTTTTCAATTTAATTTGAGTTAACTATTTTGATGTTTTATACATAATTTTTATATTATTTTTCAAATATATATAAAATAAAAAATATTGAAATAAAAAATGGATTGTAATATTATTTTTTTCTCTTGATTTTCATGAAAATTCTAAATATACATATAATTAAATAACGAAACTCTGATAATTAATTCATTATGTATTTTAAATTAGAAACTTGAGTATAGGAACAAAATAATAATTTAAATATTAAGGATATGGGAGATGTATGTGTGTTTATATAAAAAATTTTAATAATATTATAATTTAAATCTAACAAATTTAACAAAAATGTAACAACTTCATCATGTTTAATTATAAATTTTTTATAATATATTAAAAATTATTTAAAATTTAGAAAATATTAAAATTAAAATTAATGTAAGCTTTTCAACAATGGCATTATTATATTTTATTAAATAAATTTTTAATGAGAAAAGAAAAAGTATGTTAAGCATAAATATTTAATAATTTATTTTAATTAATTTACATTGTTGAGCAACGTAATAATTTTATTTTTTATTGTAAAGAATAATTAAATAAATAAAAAAAGCAATTTAAATTCAAAATCTTTAATAAACTAAATTTCTAATTAAAGATAGTTAGTAATATAAAAACAGATGTTTAATGAACACTGAAAATAGGTAGATTATTAAATAGATAATTACCGTAATTTTAAATAATCTTATTATTTTGATTTAAAATTCACAATTAAATTAAATTAATTCTAGTAAGAAATGAAAAAATAAGATAAAAACCAATACAAATATTTTAAATGTTATTGAAAAAATATAATTTAATACTTTTTTAAATAAAAATTTCATATTTTATTTGATTCTTCCTATTTTTTTAACATAAATCATTTAAAATTACTGCAGTATTTTTTTGTGTATAATATTTAATTTATTTTAATTTTTGTTTGTTTATGCAAATTGTATTCTTTTTTAAAATTTCATAGCATTTACAAATATTATTAATTTATATAATCAAAAAATTAAATGTTTTCATTTAAATAATTCGGTGTTGCAAACTAAATTATAACAATTTTATAATAAATATACAAATTTGATAATTAAAAGCATTTAATTACCATATGATAAAACAGTAAAGAATTATTTAAAAACATAATTTGTACTTTTGGTTGTTTTTTTAATGGACGGATAATTAAAAAGAGCATAAATTATTAATATAAAATAATTATTCAAACAAGCAAATTATTTAAATACTTTTTTTGATTCTTTCAATTTTCTCACAAAATAAATAAAACAGCAGTAAAGTGTTTTTTTCGAATTAAAGGATATTGAATAAGAATTGGATATCTCAAATTTGATTTTAAATTGTTAATTTTATGAATATTGTGATGTTACATAAAAATATAAATAATTATAATATGTATTCATTGAAATAAAAAATAAATTTGCAGTAACTAAATGATATATGTATAATTTACTATAATTAAAATATTTTATAAGTTATTGGTTAAGTATTTTTTCAATTAAAAACAAAGTATTAACAATATACTTATTGTGAACAATCTACGTATTATTGATCATCTTGATTTTAAAAATTATAAATAAAAATTTTATTGTTAATTTAAATTGGTTTTTTTTAAATATTTAATAAAATTTGAAAAAACTTTTAAATAATTTCCAATTTATGTTATAGGTTACAAATTCTAATTATAATGTTTCATTATTTTCAATAACACAATACAATTTAATAAAATTGTTAAAACTTTAAGTTGCTATGAAATATTTTTAACTCTTCCATAAACAGAATTTTATTATGTGGAATAATTTAAAAATTTATTAATTATTTTACATACTTGTCTTAACTATTGTTTCTTTTGAAAAACCTATCTACTTGAAAACTAATTTTACTAAATATAAGGTATTATAATAATTAATCAAAATAAATTTAAAATTCAAAATTAAATTAAATTTATATGTTGCCAATCAACA